GGCTGGGGCTGTGGCTCAGTGGTAGAGCTCTTGCCTCGCATGTGTGAGGTACGGGGCTCAATTCTCAGCACCACATAAAAATAAATGAATAAAATAAAGGTTCATTAACATCTAAAAAAAATTTAAGGAAAAAAAAAAGTGCACACTAAGGCATTCTATTTATATAAAGTTCCAAAGCAGACAAGAAGTACGGAGGGGAATAGAAGTCAGGATGTGGTTCCGCTTTGGTGGGAAGTGGTGCCTGAGATAAGGCCCCCAGGGCTGGCCATGCTTTGCTTCTTGACCCGGGGGCTGGTCACACAGGTGCATGCCCTTTGTGGAAACCCGTTGGGCCACTGTTCACTGAAGGTCTGCATTTTTCTGAATGTATTTTATATCTTGATAAAAATGTACATTAGAAAAAGTTTGACATTTGCCTGCTTGGCCCTTCTCCAATCGATGGGTTTTTACCATTTTTGTGAACTCCTCAGACTGCTAAGTGAAGTGAAATGGTGATCTTTCTCCTCCATGAATGAAGGCATCAGCTTCGCTTTTTTTTTTTTCCTCAAGGAGATGCTAGAATTAATTCTGGACAGCCTATTTGTTTTCCTAAAATAGCTGCTGCCAGGAAAACAGGCTGCAGGATGCCAAGGAGTGTGTGTGCAAGTGTGTGTGCATTAGTGTGAGCACGTGTGTGTGTGTGTGTGAGAGAGTGTGTGTGTACACGTGTGCTGGTATGTGCACATTCCCTTCTTATATTGACAGCAATAAAAAGAGGCTGAAGATGTTCTGAAACATCTGGTTCTGAGAGAAACTGCATTAGTGTCCAGGGCGGACAGAACATTCAATTAAAAAAAATCAATGAAGGAGAGAAAATGGAAGCAGAGAAGGCGTGGGCTCTTGTCTTCATTTGCTCCTAGCTTGCCTTAGGATGCCGCTGGGCAGATGAGAAAGGGCTCAGCAAGTCCCTTTGCTCATCCTCTGGGAGGCTGGGCTCACCAGGCAGGTGGCACCGTGGCAGCTCCACTCACTCCTAGCAGACCTGCCAGCCCTTGGTATCTCAGGATCTGAGTGGCTTGTGCCACTATTGTCACATGATGAAGGCCCATTTTGGAGATCTCCTAAAGTGATGGCCTCCAAGTGTCTACTCAGGGGGCTGGGGTTGTGGCTCAGCAGTAGAGCGCTCGCCTCGCACGTGCAAGGTCCTGGGTTTGATCCTCAGCGCCACATAAAAATAAATAAAAATAAAATAAAGTCATTGTAAAAAAAAGTGTCTACTCTGCCTGCTGTTCCTCCTCCCTGGGAGATAGCTATGGAGCACTCTGTCACTTAAATTATGTCACCAAATATTTGCAGCTTTGAAAACTGCCAGGCAGCTTCCATTCTAATTCCTGAACTGGTTTCCTGTCTCCCTAGGGTTCTGCTCCTCTGTCCCATCTTTCCCATGTCTTCTTGGTAGCGGTTCCCTGAAGCTACCTCAGCTAACACCACTGGGGAGCCAGTTCTGGCCAGGTTGACGGTGACTCCACAGCCTCCCTCCTCCAACAGCAGGAGCCGGGGCATCCTGAACCTTCTGGAGACCAGTCTTGCTAAGCCAGTAGCTACGAGGCTCTGCACTACTTCTGGCAACTCTGGGGATCCCTGGGAAGGGAGGAAACACATGGAGCATGGGTGCCACCAACCCCACTCCCATGTCCAGGTAGATGCCGCTAACCTACCCAGACATTCTTCCTCACTGAGTCTGGATACAGCGCTTCTGGCAAGCACCACCCATGCATAAAAACGGGAACTTGCGCACGATCCCTGTTACTTGCAGTTGCTACAGGCCTGATATTCTCTGAGTGAATTTTGCACCAGCAGCATAAGACCCAGTTCTCTGAGGGGGAACTGACCTGCGTAAAAATCTTTGATGGAATCTCATCATTCAGTAAGAAGTCCAGGCAGGTGCCAGGTGAGTTAGGGGTGAGGTAAAGGATGATCTTCTCATGAGTGTGAACCAAGGGGCTCCTGAGGGTCTGCATGGGGAGGCTCCCAGGGGAGGTTCCCAGCAGGAACTGACCTGACCGGAAAAGAGCCAGAGCAGACTGGTGGGGTAGGAGGAGTGTGGGAGCTGAGCCCCGGGGAAGGAGACACCTTTGAGGGTGGCGGCCCATGTCAGGCCTTACCTTAGTGTTGCCACTGCCCCCAGACGAGAACCATCCAGTTTTAAAACAGGCGCCACAGCCCTCCAAGCCAGAGGCCAAGGGCAGAGAGGGCCTGGACGCCTGCAGGCAGAGGAGCCATCCAGCTCCAAGCTGTCCCATCTTTCTCCTTTAGGGACCCGGAGCTTACGGGAGAGGGTGAGGGCAGAGTGGGCAGGGGAGGCGAGGGTGGCACCTGCCCTGCCATGAGGGCACAGGTCCTGGCAGGTAGTTGTCACCGCTGCTTGGGCAGCGATGGGGCAGTGACAACCGGGGTACAAGCAAATGGTTTCCACAAAGAAAGGCAGCGCAGGACCAGGGCTGTGGGGGTGCTGTGCAGAGGTGTTAGGTTTGGGGGCCAGTTTGAGTCAACATGTATTCCTGGGAAAAAGGGAAAGTTCTGACAGTGAGCAATACCCTGGCGTGTGACACTCAGGGGGACCCAGGGGCTACTCGGGAGCGCTGTGGAAGCCCCAGAAAGCCCACCCTCTGTGGAGGGGGCTGCACGCCTCCCCTCCCTCTTCCCCGTGTTCCTCTCACACTGCAAACACAGCTCAGTGAATCACCAGGCTAGCTCACTTCCTAGCTCCCCGCTGACATGAGTCCAGGACCGAGCTGATCGGCAGCCAGGCAGGAGCTTCCCCAGTGGGCGTGACTCACTGGAAAGTGTCTCCTGGGTCATTAAAAGAGGGGAAAGGAGGGACTGAAACATTCAATTCGAAGCAAATTATATAGAAAGGAGACACACTCCATCTAATTCTGACACTGAATCTGCTTTTCCCAAATAAAGAGACCTAAAACATGAGCTTTGAAGGGAACACAGTGCCAAGATGTTCCCAGAAAGGATTAAATCTTCAAAACAATGCAAATGAAACTCGGTAAACAGGTCGATCAGCTGATTAGCATGAAAAGACAGCTGCCGGGCATGGGGACACACCCCTGGAACCCCAGCCACTAGGGAGGCCGGGACAGGAGGATGGCAAATTCCAGGGCAGCGTGGGCAACTCTGCAAGAACCTGTCTCCGAATGAAATAAAGAGGGCTGGGATGTGGCTAGAGGTAAAGCGCCATCCCCTCCCCCAAAAGGGGAAGACTGTTTATCTGCTAAACTCACACGTGCACAAGAAATAGGGTGTCTGTCTCCTTGAACATGCTTCATCATGCTTGAGAAGGATGCCACCAGTGTCCCCTGTCAAGGGCGGGACCCCTAAGGGCCACCTGGGCCTGTCTCTGCTCTGGGATCATGCACTCAGCTGGCTTGACGGTGGAGTGGTATCTCACAGAGTGGATCTGAACTGTCCCTCAAGGGCCCACATTGGGACGCTTCAGGAGGTGGGGACTAGTGGAAGAGAGTCGGGTCATTGGTGGTGTGCCCTTGGAGGGGATATTGGTACTCTGTCCCCTTCTTCTTTCTGTTTCCTGGTTTCCATGAACTGAGCAGCTTTGCTCCACCTTGGATGCCCACTGTGATGTTCTGCTCCACCACAGGTCCAAAAGCAAGGGCGCCAGCCAACCATGGATTGACACCTCTGAAGCGGTAAGCCCAAATAAACTTTTCCTCCTTAAAATTTGATTACCTCAGGTATTTTGTCACAGCAATGACAACCAAAGAGGTTAACACAAGAGGCTGAGACACAAAATGGAGCCTGGCAACTACTGCCCTCCCCCTCAACCCCTCAGCGCCCCTCCTCCGGCTCCCCTCCCCTGGCCATGGCAAACCTTGCTAATGGGGCCTTTTGACCAGATAGAAAACATTCACAGGCAGAGAGGACACAGGCAAGGGAAGAGTCGCCCTCCGGAGCAATTTTAGAAGTCCTTGGCTAACAACAACAAATCTAGGAGCAGCCTCAGGATCTTCCTAAACCCAGTGCCCAGGAAGGAACTGTGTCCACTCCGCTCCCTGGAGTGGACACAAGAGAGGAGCCCTATCTGTTCTTCTAGGAATGTGGGAGGGGCAGAGCACTGTGGGCCTTGGTGGATCAGGGCTCAAGTGAGGTTCTAACCCCCATCATTTACATGATCTCTGCAAGACATTGCATCTCTACTTCAGTTTCCTCATCTGTAAAATAGGAATAATGAAACCAGCCCCTTAGTGTGCAGATACACTGAGAAAATGAAAAGAAAGTGCTTATTGTTACTATACTTAATAAAGCACATCAGAGGGCTGCGGCTGGGGCTCAGTGGTGGAGCGCTCGCCTGGCATGCACGAGGCACTGGGTTCCATCCTCAGCACCACGTAAATGTAAAATAAAGATACCGTGCCACCTAAAACTTAAGAACAAATATTAAAAAAACATAAAGCACATTAGAGGGCCCAATATTATTATTGTAATTTCTATTTCTTACTTAATTGTTGATATCGATACAAACTTCAGGTTAGTTTGGAAAGTATAAGGAACAGTATTAATGCTATGAAACCTTGACACATCTAAATGCCTTTTCATTTGTCCAGAAAATTGAGGATTTTATATCTAATCTAGTAAAATATAAATGAGAACGACCTGGTCTGATTTAGGTACACTAAAAAATAAAGTTTTTAAGGTCAGTGTAGTATGGTAATTTTCCTGAGCAAAAGTACCTTTTGGGTCATGCTATTTCTGGACACGGAGTTCCCAGAAGCACATGATTATCTCATATTATAACACCTACGCACTATTTACTTTTCCAAGTTGTGCAGTGGTTTGAAGGCTTCCTGTGATCTTGGGCCCCATAAGGAAAACTGCATTCTATGCCCTCTGGATGATGCCACAAAAGTTACATCACTGATTCGTCTCCTGTGACCCCAGGAACAGCAACACAACCGGGTCTGCACACTCCATCAATCAACACTAAGCCGTGTCACCTGTTGAAAAACGTCAGCATGGTCTCGTGGATGGGGATTGCCTGGATCTTGCTGTTCAGCTGCAGGTAGGCCCACATGAGTAAAGTTTTCAGAAGATGAAACTCGCTGAAGGTGAACAACCTGGTCAAGGGAAAAGAACAGGGAGAAGTTTCAGGAACAGGAACCATTGCACCATTTGTAAGAAAACAAAGTCAAAAGTGAGGTTAGGAAGGAGACTGAACGCGGCCCAGACTCTGACAGAAGAGGACCACTGGCTCAGGGCAGCTCCTCTGGTGATGCGCAGAGGGTGGTAGGGCGGTGGGGTGGGGGTCGGGGCTGGAACTTCAGCAGCCTGATGCTGGGCCCAGTGCTTCCCCACCCGCCACCCACTGTGCTGCTGCAAATCAGTGCATTCATCTGAGGAGCTCTAAAGAGGTTTTCTGCAGGTTTTATTCATTTATTTATTTAGGATGCTTGCAAGGCAAGTGCTCTCACAGAGCCATACCCCCAGCCCTTCATGGATTTTAAAATTGAATTCTGACCACAAACCTGCAAAATTGGGGTATAGTCCTTACTTTTACAGATGTGGAAATGGAGATGGATCCTAAGTCTATTCAAAATTTTAATGTGTTATTTTCATCATGGATTTTTTTTTGCATTGGTTTTAAAATATTGCACAAAAATAGACTTTATCATCACTGAGTGTTTTTGGTAATTTTTTTTTTTTTTTTTTTGCATCCAAGTGAGTGCCTCATTGACCCTTCCCAAATCCTGGCCCTGATTGAAGGCTGAACATGAGCAACTCATTCAAGGCCACACGGAACTGGGCCTGGGGCAGGAAACTCTTGGATGTTACTAAACTGCAGTTGCCATTTCCTCATCTGTGGAAGAGCAACAGCACCAGCTGAAGACAGGAAGTGGTGACACTCTGTATGAGTTTCCCATTGCTGCTGTAACAAACAGTCACAAACCAAATGGCTTAAAACAACATACATTTATTTTCTTATCATTCTGGAAGTCAGAATTTCAAAAAAGATCTCACTGGGCTCAGGTCAAGGTGTGAGCAGGAATGGCTCTTTCTGGGGGTTCTTGGGAGAGTTGTGTCCTGGCAAATCTCAGCACCCTTGGCTTGTGGCCCATTCCCTGGTCTTCAAGCCAGCAATATAGCATCTTCCAGTCTTCCTTTGATTCTAACCCTTTAGCCTCCGTCTGTATACTTAAGGGATGCTTGAGATGATGTTGGGCCCACCCAGAGAATCCAGGGTAAGCTCAGTTTGAAGTTAACTTTCATTTCATCTATGACTTTAAATCCTCTTTGCTATAAAACCTAAAATATATGCAGGTTCTTGAGATTAGGCCGTGGACATCTTTGGGACCATTATTCCACTGACCATGTATCAACAAAGTGCTTAGCACAGTGATTGGCACATTACTGGGTACTCAGTGAATGGCAGCACTAGATCACAAATGGCAGGGCTGGACCCAGCTCTGGAGCCCAGGCTGCACCTGCAGCAGCAGGAGGCCTGTCCTCAATGACCCTTGATGCCAAAGAGCCGCTGTTGCTCTCCGTCAGTCAGCTCTTAAGCAGGGGCAAACAGTGCCTCGGGCAGCCTCTGCTGACTAGATCATCTAGGAAGTCATTTACATGGTTCTTAAACTCACTGATATTTTCAGTTTCTGATCACGGACATGCGGTGAAATATGTCACAGTCTCTTCATTCACCACTTTGAGGGGTCACGGTGGGTGGAACCCACTCTAAAGGGCAATGGAAAGTCACCCACCCACCTCTTATGCTATCTCTGGACAGAATAGGGCTGTATTGTTTCCCTCATTTGGTTTTCAGATCACCCACAAATGATGGACTTTGATCTGCCTAGACAGGATCAAGCTGGTCACTGATGGAGGGACCAGGAGTAAAGAGGCAGCAAAGGGACCCCACACAGAGCTGCTTGGTGCAAAGTCCCCAACAAGAACTTTGTCAGTGGGGTCAGAAGCGGTGTGACTTTCAGAGCAGACTCCCACTTGAGGCTCTCAAGCCCAGGAGGCTCTTTGACATCTTACCAAAGAGGGGCTAGCAGCAGCTGGGGAGCGAAGGGGGCTCCGGGGCTCGGGATTCTGGTTCTGTTCACGAAGGGCAGTTAGTGAAGTCAAGTGCTCTCCTGAGGCCAGCACGGAACCCAACCCTATCAGCTCTGCAGTGAGTAACCACGTCGAGGGCATTCAAACACATTTCATTCACCCAAGAGCTCTGATGGCCTCAACCCACAGACACTCCAAGCCTCCACACAGGCCAACAACCGGCTGAGCATGATGCTCATGGTGGCCCTTGCAAACTAACTGGTGTCTGTTCTTCAGGAGGAAAAAAAAACTTTTCACAAGACACTGTCTTCTAATTTTATTTCTTAAGAAAATTGTATATAAACAACAAAAGCCCCTTTCTGCGTATGTACCATGGAGAAAGTCAACTGCTCAGGAACAAAGAGGAACAAGGAAACCCTCATGGCATGGTCTGCCCAGGCAAGAAAGAGAACTCAAAAGGCCTTCGGGAGAGTAAGAAAAGACTGCTGTGTGCTCCTTCCCTCGACCCTTCACAAGGAAGGAGAAGAATGCTAAAGAGATGCAATCACAGGGAGAGAGCACAAGGCAGGGTGAGTGTGCACCCCATGTCACTGTCCCTGAGATGTCGGTCTGAAATGTCAACCTCCACAAGACATCATGCACGATTCTTGGGTGCACATGTACATACTAAGAGCTTAATCACATGGATCGTATCCACACAAGCTCCTAACTGTGGTTTAATTGTCTTTAGGAAGGAATGGGACTGGAGGGGACCCAGGTGACCTGCTTTATCAGTGCTGTTTTATTTCTTAACTCATGACGAAATGTTACTCTTTGGTCATTTTGGGAGGTAGCTGCAATTGTTTTGTATAATCCGCCTATCTTTGTAAAGTATTTTTTTTACAACAACAACAAAAAAACACAACAGATTAATTTAGACAACTTTTTGGTCACTGTGAACAAAAGACTAGACAAGAATAATGTCAAGGAGGAAAAGTTATTTGGGGTACACAGTTTCCGAGGTCTCAGTCCATAGATGACTAACTCCATTGCTCTGGGCCCAACATGAGGCAGAACATCTTGGTGGAAGGGTGTGGTGGAGGAAATCAGCTCAGGACATGGCATTAGGAAGCAGAGAGAACTCTGCTCCCCAGGGACCAAATATAAAACCCAAAGTCACACCCCAGTGACATATCTTCTCCAGCCTCATCCCTATAGCTGCCTATAGCTACCACTCAGTTAATCCATTCAAGTGGGTTAATGCACTGATGAGGTTAAGGCTCACAACCAAATCGTTTCATTTCTGAACCTTCCTGCATTGTCTTAGACATGAACTTTTGGAGACACCTCATATTCAAACCATAACAAAGATCAATATACTTGTTGACTCGACTGTCCATAAGGACAAACAAGGCCTCATGCACACACATCAGCTGACTGCTAATGACCACAGCTATGAGACCACTCTGACCTGGGCTCAAATCCCAGTTCTCCTGCAGCATGGGGGGAGATTTGACTGACCTCTTCATTTTCTGGAGTCCCCCTTCCCCAAGTGAGAAATGCAGAAGGCAGCACTCCCCCATCGGGCTGCTGTGGGAACGAGTCGTGGGGATGACCCATTCAGAGCTGCAGTGTACAAGTGCTCCCTAGCCATAGGTACTGTTATTGTTTACCAGAGAAGCAACGGCTTCAGGTTCAACTACTACATTAGATAGGGACACGTTGGTGTTCAAGACGCTGTGGAAACCCTACACCATCCTATCCTGCAGGCATGTCAGGGACCCTGGGACCCTGAGACTCCGTGGCCATAGACAGGAAGCTGGGAGAATTGGAAACAGAGGGGTGTAGGGTCCCCTGTTGCCAGGTAGATTTTTGTGGAGATGGTACTAGAAGGTCCTCTGAAGTCCCCATCCTCCCAGGTCAACAAGGACATTGGCTTCCAGGAAAACAGAACTTGGATGAAGTTTTAATAAACGAGAGTTACAAGAACAAGGTGACCTAGTGGTGACCTCTAAGGAGAAAATTAATTGAAAACTAAGTGCCTAAGCAAATAAATTAAAACCCGAGGCCCAGGAGGTCAGGAAAACCGTGGATATTTGACCCAAGGCTGTTTACAAATGGAAAGTAAAACTCCAAAAAGAGATGAAGTCAAGGGCCTTCAGACAGGAAAGGCGGAAAGGCCCAGAAGTCACAGCATCTGCTAAGAAATGGATGTTGTTCCAAACACCCACAGCCACAAGCTGGGGGTCGGTGACAGCGGGCGGCTGGAGGGACAGCTGAGTGGGGCCAGGGGTGCCCCATCCCTGACCTCAGGTTTGGCATTTCCACACTTCCTGCTCTGGGGCAGGAGACTTCTCGGGTCACCCAGGGTCCTGCTGAGCTCTTCCTAGTGCTAGGCCACCTCTGCCTCCTTAGGAAGGAGCAGAGGTTCAGGGTCAGGGCAGGACGTGGACTCTGGAGCCAGGGGAGGCCTTGTCCAGCCCTTCATTAGCCCTCCCATCTCAGGGATAGCAGTTTTACCTGCCAGGTGGGGTGTGAGGATGGAGAGGGACAGTATTCCTAGCACAGCGCACACGGGAAAGTGCTCCCTAACAGGCTCACTCTTAGGTGCAGGCCGGGGTACAAAATCCACCAGCCAGCACCCTGGACCTCGGCAGGTCCCCTGAGGACCCCAGGTCTGGCTACGTTCCTGGAAGGTACCCCTCTTCTTGCACCCTCTACCTCCACCCACAAGCTGCAAACAGCAGACCCCTGGAGAACTGCACCCATGCTGGGGTGAGTCTGGTCACCCTCCCCTGCCCACTTGGGCACGTGGGCCCATGACGTGACTGAGGCCATGCAAGGCTCTTGCCTCCTTGAGCTGCACGGCCCTGAACTGTCCATGCAAGTGCCTCCTGCGGAGGGCTGGGGGCGCGGGCCGCCGGGTCCCACTCAGTCACGTCTGCCCAGGCTGGCGAGTCTAGACACCGGATGCGTCATGCTCCTGACCTCTTTTCCTGCCCAGTGTGCGTCTTGCCAGGCCTGTGCCATCACCGACGTGCTGATTGTGGTCAGACAGCTTTCCTAATTTTTGGCTAAATGCTTCCAGGGTAGGACAGCTCAGTCTTTCCAAGGGAGGGACCGTGTTATGAAAAGTCTAAGGGATGCCAGGTTTATCTGTTCTTCAATAATTTCAAGAACTTTTCTCCACTGGAGGGTGAGGTGGAGGGTGGGGGACACATGAGTGGGGTACACCAGTGCCCTGGGGGCTGCTCGGGGGCCAGGCTCCTGGGGTCTTCTCTGACAACGTGGTCTCCCTCAACACCAGGACTCTGTCACGTAAGGGGCCCTGCAGGCCCCTGTGTACCCTGAATCCCTGGGATGGGCTGATGATCTAGAATGGGATAGATCTTTCCAGATGTAATTTCTAAAAGTGGGACATTTTCTACCACATAAATGCTAGGAAATACTTATTTTCTAACATGCCACTAAGATTTTGAGTAGACTTTAGTTTTCACTTTTGAAATTTACCCAAAGGGAGCACAACCCTGGAAATTTGGCAATGAATACCAAGGAGCTTTTCAAGAGAGCCCCAGAGAGACTTGACGACTAAATGCAAGATGTGATCCTAGACTGAATCCTGCATTAGAGCGGGAAACGCTATCACGGACAGTGTCGGTCAAGGGGTCTAAGTATCACATCCATGATAAATTTCTTGACATTGATAATTACCCTGGGGTTATATTAAGCAAATTCTTTTTCTGGGGAGATAAACACTGAAGCATTTGGGATAAAGAAGCATAATATATGCAACTTATCCCCAAGTAGTTCAGAAAAAATATGTGGACCTGTGGATATGCACAGAGAAGCAAACGAGAAAGCAAGCAGGGCAGAAACTGACCCATAGGGAGACTCAGGGTAAAGAGTCTAAAAATTGTCTCCACTTTACAATGGTCTGATTTATAAGTTTTCAGCTTTACTATGGTGGGAAAGTTATGTGCATCAGTAGAAATGATACTTTGAATTTTAATCTTTTTCCAGGCCGGGGATATGTCCTTTTTCCTGCTGTTGCGCAGGGGCAGGGCCAGCGCCTCATCACAGCTCCCAGCCAGCTGGCGCCCTCTAGTGGGCGTGTTGCCTGGCTGTGACACTCGGGAGGCGAGGTGCATCCCGTGCAATTTCAGCTTATGCTGGGTTCACTGGATGCAAGGCCGTTGTAAGTTGAGGAGCATCTGTAGAGATATTCTTTATGCTGTTCTTATTTTTCTCTAAGTTCAAAATTCATTTCAAAATATTGTTTAAAAAATGAATTTTAAAAAGCCATTTTGACTTTAATTTCACTTATGGAAAGTCAATGCAGGGAGCTCATGTGAGAGGAAGATAAATGTGCATTAAAGGACATTCATCCATCTGCTACTTATATTGGTAAAACATTGGGAATAGCCTGAAAGTCAAGCACTGAGAATGTTCCCATGAACCACTCAGAGGGATAAGAAGGAACCTGGCAGGGGACAGCTTGCCCAGAGGCCCTGTGTGGGTGAGAAATCAGCAGGGGAGTCTGAGAAAGGTCCCTGTGGCTGCTGCTTGGTGTGTGAGATGCAGGAGCAGAGAGCAGAGCAGAAGGCCCTGGACTGGACAGGGCTGGAAGGGAGTCAAGACCAGAGGCAGGACGCCACCCTAGAGGGTGCTGAGGTGGTCCCTGAGAGACGTGGAGGTTTGGCCTCGGGCTGGGGCTGGGGCTGGGCTCATAGCCATACTGGAGCTCAGTTTGGAAGCAAAGAAGGCCTCATAGTCAAGGAGAGGCCAAAGAGGTATCCAGAGGACTCTCAAGGTTCTACCTTGTGCAGCCGTCAATGGTCCCGGGACCATTGGGGTGGATGGGGTTGCAGTAAAGGGCGGGGGATACTGAAGGTTGACTCTTGGCCTTAATTTTCAGAGAGACCAATAGGCAGTCACGTGTTCAGGTGGAGGACGACTCCGCAAAGGAGTCCGGGCTGGATGGGAGGTTTTATTTTCCTTTTCCCGCCTTTCCCTGTTTTCCAAATTTTCCCACAACAAGTGTGTGACTGTTTGGGAGCAGCAAGTTTGGAATCAAGGAGGACAAGGGTATGTCCTGCAGGGATGTGGGTGCAGCCACCCTGGGGAATCTCCCTTCCCGACAGCCCCCCCACTCTCTTCCATACCCACCCTGGGCAGCACCCCCAGAATTAGCTCTGACCTGGGGGACCTCAGCACCTTTTGGAGCAGCTCCTGAGGGATATGCCGAAGATGGATCTGGGTCGCCATCAGAGGGACCAAGTTCATTTCCAGCCACTTCTCGCAAGCGGTCGTGAGCTGCTCTTCCTTGTACTGAGAAGACAAAACACGGCGCTCGACGGAGGAATTCCTGGCTCTCAGCGCCCTCTGCTGGCCGTCAGTGATACTGCACACATGCTAGAGTCTCGAAAAGCACAGAACGGGCTTACTATGCTCAAGGTATGGCACTCTGACTATTTGAACCAGTCCTCTCTGCCACCCTATGAGGCTAGCCATTTTGACTTTAATTTCACTTATGGAAAGTCAATGCAGGGAGCTCATGTGAGAGGAAGATAAATGTGCATTAAAGGACATTCATCCATCTGCTACTTATATTGGTAAAACATTGGGAATAGCCTGAAAGTCAAGCACTGAGAATGTTAACCCTATTTTTACTTATGGAGAAACTGAGGCTCCAAGGTTTCTGTTCTTCCCATGGGAACACACTAGTAAGTGGCAGAGCCAGGAGCAAACCCAGGTTGTCTGACCTTGGGCCTTGCATGTTCAGACCTCTGGGCTGTCAACTGATCTCCTGAGGGCCCGGGAGGGGCATCCCGTTGGAGTTCTGAGGCACAAACTTTAGAAGCAAGGTTGATAGGACAGGGAAATTGGAAAAGTCTCCCTGGATCCAGGGACCCTGAGAGGGTCTCTGTACATTTAGCATGTTCTCAGGGCTTAGCATCTGTCCAAGCCAAAGATTTTTTTGAGAAATGTCAACTAGAATGTAAAGATGTCACTGAGAGTGACTTTCCAACAGTGTGGGGTGAAGGCAGGGACCACATGGTCTTTGTCAAACAGGTACGTAGGACATTCTTAGAGGTGGTGCTAAGAGCACCTGGCATGGGGCTGTGTGCAAATCCTGCATTGCCTGGAGTAAGTCTGTCTCCTGGTGTGAGTGTCCCTGAGTCAGGGAGGGAGCTGGAATAAGGAAGCCTGAGGTGAGGCCCGCACTGCCCCTCAGCTGCTGGCTACCCTGGGAGTTCGCTCCCTTGGTCAGGTTGCTGTTTTCTCCTCTGGTAATAAGAGCTGGATGACATTATTTGCTTCCAACATGGACACACTGACTGGGCTCAGGTGGGACAAGATCTCATGGCTCCATTCTAGAATGTTCTGAAAAGTCTGTGCTGTTTCATTGAGAAAGGCCACGCTACACCCTGTTTCTCAACCTCTGAGGTTGTAAGTATTCTACTCTTAATGCATATCTTTAAAAAGAACTCTTTAAAAAAAAAAACAAGTGCACTCCTTTAGTAAAATAAAATATTTCTAACCTTAAATCGGTGACTTTGAATAGAATTTTTGGAGCTGGGCCTGGCAAGTGAAATCAGAGTCCAGAGTGCTCTTGAAGGCCACACCCCATAATCCCATGCCCCTGGGTCTATGTGCCCTGCCCAGGTGTTCTCACCCTGAGGCCAGCCAGGTAGAAGTTCTTGATGGTGCTTGGCCTGAGTCCATTCATCATCGTGACCACACATCTGCGGAGAGAAAGCTGTTGATCCTGGAGGCCCCTTCAGGCTGCTTTCAGGGAGGGGACCCCAGAGTTTTTCATTCAATTCCAGGAGGGCAGCAGCAACCTTTCACAAGGAAGGGAGCCTCATTTTAGGGATATGGTATTTGTTCAGGCCTGTGACAAAGCACTCCAGGCTGAGGCAGATACAACTCATGATCAAATCCCTCAGAGGCAACAATGTGGCCTTGACACCAGGGCCAAGGTCATTGCTCGGAGCATACATGTCTCCAGATGCCTAAATGAACTCAAGCTCAGCCAAGAGGGCCAGTTGGTTTTCCTCCTGCCTGGAGTGCTTTCTCCCTGCACTGACTATCATGGCGCTGCTAGTGGGGCCTCAGGTCCTGAGCTGCTCTATGAACAAATGGATTTAGAGAGCCTTTCTGTTAGAAGCCTCAGTCCTCTGTCACGGCCAGGCCTGGTTTACTTGCTCACTCATCCTTCAGGGTCTATTTACTAAGCATGCACCCCGTGCCAGGCACTGGTGAAGACAGAGCTAGTGGCTAGGGGGTGATACACATCGTTAAGTCACCATGTGGACAGATGACCACATTACTACAGTTAAGGGTTCTAAAGTTAAAGCACAATGTGCCCTGGGAATGCAGAAAAGGTGAATCTAACCTAACAGGGTTAAATCAGAAAAGAGGTCAGAAACCAGAAAAGTAACATTAAAAACGGGAAGGAAGCCAGGCGTGGTGGTGCATACCTGGGAATCCCAGCGGCTGAGGAGGCTGAGGCAGGAGGATTGCGAGTTCAAAGCCAGCCTCAGCAAAAGAGAGGTACTAAGCAACTCAGTGAGACCCTTTCTCTAAATAAAGTGCAAAAGAGGGCTGGGGGTGTGGCTCAGTGGTTGACACCTGGTACCAAAAAACAAAAAACCCCTAAAGGAGCAGGACAAAGAATTGTTTAGGATGGGACTGGGAGACCAGCAGCCCAAGAGAACACAGGGGTGTACCGCCACCTGTGAGGCTAACTTCCTGTTAACCCTATTTTACTTATGGAGAAAATCTGGGTTAGCAGACCAGCAGCACAGGGGGTGGGCCACACCAAGTCAGCGAGCTGGCGGGACCGAGGGGTGGACTTGCTGGCCGAATGTGGGGCCACGGAAGACTTGACATTCGGTGACTCAACGTTCATACCTAATATTAGCCCCTTTTCAGCAAAACCGTCTTAAAGCATGCTCACACCTTTTTAAACAGGGCACCTGAGAACAGCTCTGGGGCTCTCATATGAAGCCCGATCCTGGCTCCGTATCACTCAGAGGCCACCCTAAGGTGTACCTAAGCTACAGGATTTCCAGCAACTCTTACACATTTTAAATGTATTCCTCAAGGAAGCCACCACGAACTAAAACCACCATGGGCCCTTGGGGTAGGGCGCAGACGGCATGCGTCCTCTGCAGCCGTGCACCAGGGCTGCAGCCGTGCACCTGGGCTCTGCCTCTCACAGGTGAAATGGACCAGCCCTCTGTGGACAGCTGCTGTCTCTGCCCTCTACAGAGCAGCTGTGTCCCCTCTGGGCTTGGATTCACTCACTCACTCACTTAGATGAAGAAACAGGAGGTGAAACAAGCCAGGCAGGACATCCCCACCCTCCTCGCTCTCTACACTGACTTGCTCAGGGAATTTGAAAAACAAAGAGCTCTCAGAGGGCACCTCTGTCTTCAGGCACTGGGCACGTGTCCTGCGAGAGCCCAGGAGACGAGCCAGATGCCCTAGGAGACGATTCCCACTAAGGCTTTTCCGTTTGGTTCACTGCCCTCTCGTAAGCATGAATGGCACCGAGGGGTACTACAGGATTCCAGAAAGGGGACGCTCTGATGGACGTGTTTTCTTATCGTGAGCACCAGCTGACTTGGAATTAATCATACATAGCACAACATGTTCCATTTGGGAGCCTCCGCCCTTCACTCTGCCTGACCTGACTCATTTCCTGTGTCTTGGGCCTGTTGGACAGGAGGCCTTCGAGGACAGTGACCTGCCTATCTGTCCCTTTCTGTCTCCTTGCATCCTGGAGAGGCCAAGAGCTCCTTCTTGAAGGAGTGGGCTGGAGAATGAAGGCGTGACTGAATACACGACAGGTGAACCACCCTAGGCAGCCCCACCTGGCCGAGTGCTGCTCCAGGGAGGGGGCAGGCCAGCGACAACACGACCACCCAACTGAGCACAGCAGAGTAGTGCCACGTTCGTGGTGTAGGCTTGGGGCTCCTCGACCTCCTTCAGTTCTTGGCTTTCCTACTTAGAACCTGTGTGGCCTTGAAGCCTCAGGCTCCTCGTCTGTAAAATGGGTGTAGTGACAGTACTACCTCCCAGGGGTGCAGAGAAGATGAAAGGAGCCTGTGGAGAATGTGTCTGACTGTAGCAAACGCGCCACCTCAAAGCCCTTTGTGTCCACATCCCTTAAACCCAGGAAAGTTCTGGGAGGCAGATGGCACAAATACTGAGTCACGCTTTACGGTGGAGACGGTTGAGGTACGCGGAGGCTGAGGGGAAGCTTATTGCAGGGCTGAACACAGCCCCTGCAGCTCACGTGCCCGGACTGTGCAAAAAAGTTCAATAAAAACTGGGCGCCTCCGACTCAACCGCCCGAGGTTGGCTGCCTTGCCCCAGCCCCTGGACGTCGCGGGCAGAAGCGGCTCCCTGGGTGTCCGGAGCCCGGTGTCGTCAGGATGGGGAGCTTTCCCAGCGGACGCCAATCCACTCTGAACTCCTGCTGCCCCCTGGCCAGGTCGCTCCTCCTGGGCAGCCTGGGTGGGGCCGCAGGCTCTGAATGTCCAGCAGGGAGGACGCTCCCCACAACCTTGATTTCAATCTTTGCATTTTCTCTGTTCAAAAAGATTTCTAACGTGTAACATTCATAGTAATAAAAATATTGTTATAAAAGAAAAACCAAGACTATCTGATATAAGCAGAAAAGATGAGACCTGAGAGGGATGGGGAATGAGCTTGTCCCCAGTGGCCCGTTTAGGGTATGCACGAGATCTAGAAGTTTTTAACCCCCAAGTGAACACAGGTGACAATGACAAGCACCTGGACCTGGGGCTCCTGGGAATTCACTCTGCATAGCTGCAGCATCTCCCCAGCCACAGAGCCCCTTCCCCAGTCGCATTTCACTCCTGTGAGTCAAGAATCATTTGGCTAAACTGAGCACGCAGCTGGCTCCAGAGAGCAGGCTCAGGCCCATGCTCCGAGCGCCTGGGGGGGGGGGTCGTGCTTTTCTTGGCACACAGGACCCCGGGAGTCAGCCCCGAGAAGAGGACTGTTCCATGCGGTGGGCCCAGGCTGGCCCTGGCCCTCCTCCTCCTCCTCACCTCTTGAACAGGCGGCTGAACTGCAGGACGTGGGCGGAGGCCAGCACGCCCAAGACTTCTTCCACGTTCATCTCCTCATCCTTCAGGTAGAGGTTCTTCAGAGCCGTGGCGAAGGCTGGGGAGGAGCAGACAAGGGAGGCCATCAGCACGAGGCTCTGCACGCCAGGCAGCACCCCAGGGCCTCAGGACTCCTGAGCTGGGTAGGCAGAGACGCCCTTGGAGATAAGGCACAGCTGGACCTGGGGCTGGCACTGCCTGGCCCCTGACGACTCCCCGGGGGGAGTTCAGCATGGAGCCAAAGCAAGCTGAGCTCCTGCTGGAAGGACCTTCTCTGGGTCTGTGCCTTGGGGTCACCATGAGAGTGAGACATCTTGGGGATCTCTCCCAACCCGGGGTCTGTGGCCCTGAGGGATCACGAGTGCCTGGATTTGTGCAGAATGCCATGAGTAGGTGGGTGAACTTTTTTCTCCAGAGACAACATACAGCTTCCCATGGACTCTCCTTGGAGTCTGGGGACTTTGGTAAGGAACAGAGACTCCTGGGAGGAGCCAGGACAGCTTGATTGTTCAAGAACTGGCCGGCCTTGGTGGGGTCAGATGGGCTTGGCCTGTTGTGCTATCGCGGTGGACTCTGAGGATGACTGGCTGACCCATGCTTAAGTGGATCATCTCCTAACCTAGCCATTCATAGCTGTGTTGTCACGTGATGTCACACATGCCACTTTAACACAGCAACCCATGACTGGGAAAGGATGGGGACAAAGGGAGCCCAAGAGAGCACCCTGGGGGAGGCCTCTGCTAATAGAAGCCGGTGGGGGTCCTTGGCTGGAGGAGTGGGTGGGTGCTGCTGGGGAGCAAAGGTGGCCCGCTGGTGTGGGCTCCGGAGGGGCAATGCCACTGTCCCTGGCCTGAGAAGCCGGCTCCCTCCTGCCCCCGGGCTCCTTCCCACGGCAGCACCTCCCTCTCCTACGGTTTCACCGTCTTCGGTTTCTCCCAGGTGCCCTAGCCCCCTTGTCCCTTCTTGCTTGGCACTGTTCGGCACTTTGGACAAGGCCGTGTGTGCCACCTGCATGTTCTGAATCTGGGAATGCTGCCCAGTCAGTGGCACATGGGGACAGAGAAGACAGGGCTGCATTACCAACTCTGGTGACCGCTGGATCGTTGATCTTTAGGGAAATGATCATCCTCTTTACACAGGAGCGTTCTTGGACCTTCCCAGGCAACAGAGCTAGGGAAGGAAGTCAGACAGTGATCTGCAGAGGCCAGCAGCACAGTGGAGGCACAGAAGGAGGCTCCCGCTGCCCTTCACTTGCCTGGGTCTCCACAGGCATCCCATTGCATTAGCTCGGTTAATGGATGCATGTTTAAAATAAGTGCTTTTTAAAAAAATACTTTCAGACTCACAGGAAGTTACAGAAGTAGTGTAGAGAGTCCCGGACCTGGGGCTGGCACTGCTCAGCTTCCAATGACCCTTTATGGCCGATGCACATCACTCCCTACCTCCCTCCCTCTGTCCCTCTCCAGGCGTCTCTGGTTCACCTGGGAGTGCACTTGAGCTCCTCGGGTAGGCAGGTCAGGCATTGAGTGGGAGCAGAGTGGCCATCTGTGGGGGACTGAAATGTCCTTCCAGTGGCTGTTGACACTTTGACCCACAGATCTCCAAACTGCAGATGCCTGCCACCAAGGAGTCCCAGGAGGAAGGACTGGGGTCACCAGTCCATCTCCAGCCAACCCATCAGCTTGGAGCTGCTCTCAGGCAGCTCTGGGGCAGAAGCCAATGTCCTATCCGTGGCCCCGGGACCTTCATGGCCTCCCACCCCTTTCCCTGCACCAGATCCCAAACATGCCCCTCTGGGTTTGTCTCCAGGACAGTATGGCCCCCTCCTTGCTTCTTTCTCTTCGGGGACCTGCCCACACGTGCCGTCTCAGAGACTCCTTCCTGACCCCACACGTGCGGTAGCACCCACTCCTACCACCTGCGGACAGGCCTTTCCTTCTGCATGGACCAACCTGCCCACAACCCGCTGTTCCCCCTCAGGGCTGCTGGGGACGATCCACCGGGCAGGCACATTGATGGTCGGCTGGTGGCTCCGTCCCCAGAAGCCACAGCACTCTTTCACACACCGGGGCTCAGTAGATGTCACTGAGTTGCTGGAATGAAGACTCCATCATCAGTGAGCTCAAGGCTCCAGGTAGTGAAAAACCATTTGAGAGCCAAAATGCAGGTCACACTTCAGGAAAAAAGACCCCAAATGCCCCTTTTCTTCAATGTCCCTTCACTATCCTCTGGCACTTGGCTGTTCAGCTTTCACTCAGCAAACATGTGTCAAGCACTGACTAAGCACCAGGCCTGATCCCACCTCTGGGTCATTTTCCCCTTGGCATTACCGCTCACCCTCCTGCTGCGCGACCCTGCCAACCACTCGGCCTGTGGCGGGTAGTGAGTGAGACGATGCCCGCGGGAGGCGGTGGTCAGGCCCTGGAGGGATCTTATGTTTACTGGGCTTTGCCATCATTTTGGGTTTGCTCAGATGGCGGGGTCCTGGCACAAGGCCTGGCATAAACTGAGCACTTCACCCCTTCGTACCAGCCAGGCCAGAGTGAGCAGAAGACAGGTCAACCTCCCTCCAGGTGAAAAAGCCCCCAGATCAGACGGGGCTCATATGCTCAGGAGTTTCTCAGTGTGTGTTTAGTAAGAGAGCCGTTTCTTTTGGATTTTGACCCGAGAATAAATGTGGCCTGCTCAGGGACAGCTGCACCTCTGTGCTAGATGGAAAGGGACCGAGCAGCAGAGAGGCTGTGCCTCTTCACAGAGCCCAGAAACCTCCTCTGCTGCCGACTCCAGGGTAGCAACGTGGACAACCTCAAGAACATGAAGGTGTGTGGGGTCAAGAACACAGCTGTCCTTGGGAGATAAGCTCTGCTTTTAAAGGCACGGCAGGACTTCACTCCCATGGAACTTCCTGGAGACATGGAGCCCCAGGGATACCTCGGGGGGATCCTGGACAGTTGTGACAGCCAAGGGCAATGGGGTCTCTTCGCTGTGCCTTCCCTGACATCTCCAGTCAGGCCCAGCCTATGGCCTGGGAGTGGGGGTCATATCTGCAGAGCCACCCTGGTCTCGAGCCTCTTCTCTTCAGTGACATCATTCTAGACCCGTTAAGCCATAATGTTAACAGTGACCCTCCTGCTTCCCAGTGTGCTCGCGGTCTAGGTCACCAGAGCCCTCACTGATGGCTTGGTGAGTGCTCTGATCGGGTACAGAGGAGACGGAAGAGGCCGGTCCTGCTCTTGAGGACACCAGGACAGATGCTTAAGAGCAGTAAAAACCATCCCGAGCAGGAGTCACGGCTGCCACAGTCCTACAGGAAAGCCACGAGGGCTCTCACTGCCAGCTCTGCCGGGGAAGAGCTGAGTCAGGGACCCGGTGGCCAGGCGGCTCCCAGGGTGCCCTCTCCAGGCCCAGGAGGGGCGGCGGCCGGGGTCTCTGGCTGCCCATCTGGCTCTGGAATAACAGGGCCCTGCTGCCACATCCTGGAGCCGTAATCCCATCCTGACCACCGCTGGCTGGCTTTGGGGACCGTGAATTTTCCACAGCACCTGCTTGTGAGTCAGCCCTGGTGGTGCCCATCTATTGCCCCAAGAAGTTGGCAATGAAGCTGAGGAAGACATCAAACAGGTAAGAGCAGGCTGAGGTGTCCAGGACTTAAAGGAGGAAAAGAAAAGAAGGAGGGAAGGAAGAAGAGAGAGAGAGAGAGAGAGGTGTGTGACCTAAATTCTTTTTGGAAGGAGAAGTTAAAAAGAAAGAAAAGGAAAAGAGAAAAAAGGGAAAGAAAAGAAAAACCAGAGGCACACAGTAGGCCTCCACCAGCGTAGCCGGGGCAAACAAGCCAAGTCAGCACTAGGACTTCCTGCCTTCCAGAAAGCCCTTCAGGGACTCGACACAGTCCATTTCTCTTCTCTAAGAAGTATCTCGAGTTTCCATATCTCCCCTACCAGACTTGGTGAACCCAAGGATGACCCCTGGCAGGGGGCATGTGCTGAGTGCTCACTGGGACCTGGCATTATTGCAGAACCCCCTCCGGTGACCTCCCTCGGGCTTCAGAGCCAGGGGATAAGAGCCTCCGTCCCTGTTGGACAGCTGAGGGCGTGGAGGTTGAGCACACCTTGAGCTCACACCAGAGCCACACCCATATTTCCTGCAGGGACCCTGGTCTCAAAACAGATAACCTCTCTCCAAGCTGGGGTCTCTCCAGCCCGGGTGTGGGGGGGGCTTGGGGATCCACCCTGGGTCCGTGGGAAATTACCTCGGTGGGGGCTTGAACCGCCCCGGCCCAGGGCTGCCAAGTACAGCTTGGTCAAGGTCTCCGACTGGAACAGCTGGGGCTGGTGGAGTTCCCACTTGAAGCCCAGGCATTCGAGAGTCACGTCTGAGGGGAGAAAATGACACTGAGCAGCGAGGCAGGAAAGTCCCCACACAGAGCCGTGTGACTGCCTCCAGACACTCCTTTCAGTCCCAGCTGTTAAGCAGGACAAGTGGCAAGCAGCTGCCTCAGGTCTCAGTGAGGTGCAGCCCTAAAGGAGCTCAGCGACCTGGGGGACACCAGGGCAGCCTCACTGAGCCAGCGGTGAACCCAGAGAGCTGCCGGCAAAGCTGTGGGGCTTCAGGGGCACACGGGCTGCCCTCCCGTTTTGGGAATTGGAAAAGGTTTCCCAGGAACCTTTCAGGGACACTGGCTGGAACACTCTGGTGGGACCTCATTACAGTGTTTCTCAGTCTCAGCACTGTTGACACTCGGGGCAGGTGACGACTCTGTGAGGACTGTGCTGTGCATTACGGATGCCCAGCAGCATCCTTAGCTTCTACCTACTGGATGCCAGCAGCACTCCCCTCCCCAGCTGTGACAACCAAGAAGGTCAGCAGACATTGCCAGTGCCCTGGGGAGCAAAATCATTCCTGTTCCCTGCTGAGAACTTCTGGATGGTTAGTACCTGAAAGGCCACAGAAAAGTCACAACACAGCGAGAGGCCTGTCAGAGAGGCAGGGTCTGCTGAGTCTCTCTCCTCTAGGGAGTGGAGATGAGCACAGAGTTCATTATTTCACTAGAAAATATGAAATAAAATGGCAATGTGGGCTGGGGCTGGGGCTCAGTGGGAGAGCGCCCGCCTACCACGTGTGAGGCACTGGGATCCATCCTTAGCACCACATAGAAATGAACAAATAAAATAAGGTGCGTGTCCATCTACAACTACCAAAAATAAAAAAATTTAAAAAAAGACAACATGAAGAAGGCCCTTTGCAAATTGCAGAAGGTTTTAAATCATTTTTTTTAATGTCTCAACTTTTCCTTTTTTAATATATATATTTTTAGTGGTAGATGGACACCATTTTATTTATTTGTTTTTATGTGGTGCTGAGGAACAAACCCAGTGCCTCGCACATGCCTGGAGAACACGCTATCACTGAGCCACCACCCCAGCCCCCGCAGAAGGTTTTATAGGGGGAATCTTGCCTATGGATTGCATGGATGATTTAAAAAGAAGAGACTTTCACAGGAGGGCAGGTGGAGTATCCAAGGACACCAGCCAGGTGAGGCGGGGTGAGAGGGCTCTGCACAGCTCAACTCCTGTGTTAGCACAGAGCTGGAGGAAGGGATGACGCAAGGGCTGAGCTCCCCAAACCCTGAATTTCAGTGCTAGATAGGACCTGTAGGGCTAACGAGCCCCACCCAGTTATTTCTTGGCTTTGCCATCAGTGTGACTGTGTGACCTGGGATATCTGTTTCTTCTTCCTGTTTCTATTCTTGCTATTCACCTGGGGATCACACCTTACTTCTTGGATCAGCCCAGGTGGTCTGGTTAGGCTGAATTAGAAAAAAAAAAATCCCACTCTTAGGGTGACCACAGGCAGGAGCATAACTGGATCAAACATGGTCCCTCACTGGACATTGCTTTCCACTTTCAAGGACGGCCGATGCAGGACAGACATCGCCAGTCGATCTTAGAGCTCCTTCTCCCAGTCAGGAGATAGCCTCAAAAGATCGACCTTTTCTGGGTCAATCAGAATTGATGGGTGAGAAGAAATCTATTAGTCTCTCCTTGGAAAGGGGCTCAGCTCTGAACTCAGGCAGCACTACATGGGGTCAGGTTTATCCTTCCCAAAAAAACTTCTTTAAGGGCTGACTTTGGGCTGGGGGAGTAGCTCAGTGGTAGAGCCCATGCCCAGCATCATGAGGCCCTGGGTTCAATCCCCAATATCACAAGAAAGAAGAAAAGGAGGAAAGAAGGGAGGAAAGAAGGGAGGAAGGGGAGAGCTGACTTGTCTAGGTTTCTTGTGGCTCAATGGACCTTTGTTCAGAACTGGATGGTCCAGTTCTGATTCTTGGTTCTATTTCAGGAAAGTTCTCTTGGACAAGCACAGATGTGGATGTCCAAGTCATAACTGGTTAAAGCCCAAAGGGGATAAAGCAGCCCAAAGCAGCTGCCTGGTGCTGAACGTCACTGTTTAGTCTTCCAATCTAAGGGCGACTCGTTAGTCCGTTTTGTCCTCGTGTGTTTACTGAGCTTGGTTTTCATTCATCATGTATTTGACAGATATTTACAGGCCAGTGGACAGGAATGGTTGCTTGAGGTCTAGTGATCTGAACTGTAAAGACCACAGAGTCCCCTAAACTCAGCCACATTCTGATTTCACCCACAGATGGCAAAACTCACCTGCTTCCCCATTTTGGCTGGCCTTGTCCTTCAAAGTCTCAGTGAAAATTTTCTGGATTTTTGGAATACGTAACCTCAAGGAAAAACACAAACCAAAAAAATCCAAGAGTTAATCCTGATATTTTTCTCCAGCTGGGACACACACCACTCCAGTGTGTGCTTCCCTGCAGCCACCAACAACCACCTTGTCACATCATGCCCTTTGGGGGAGCTTCCTCAGGTCACTGTGCGTGGATTTGACCACTGTAGGCTGCCGGCTGGTCCCCAACACTGACTCCCATGTCCAGTCTGTGGGTCGGTCTTACCAGGGAGGTATTGAGGCTGCCCCTGGCTGCCCGAACTACACCTTATTTGGTGAGTCTCTAAAACAATGGCAGATGGTAGGTGCTCAATAAATATCCTTTGGAGAAAACAACAGCATGTTCTACCCACTTTTGGGACTAAATCACCAACAATTTTGTTTGGCAGTTATACAGTCCCCAGTCACAGTGCCTCTAGCCTGCTCCTCCTGCCAGGGTCCAGCCCCTAGGGCCCAGGCTGGCCTGCTGAGTGTCGTCATGTCCAGCTGCTTGCCTCCACCTGATGATATTCTGTTGTATTGGTCCATGGTCTTTGTCTTTATTATCATGACCTTTACCTAAGCTCCTCCTGGTCACTCACTCCTCCACCCCCACCGCCAGCCCTCCTTCACAGGATGCAGGCCTGGTCCTGCAGAGCTAGCTGGTCCTGCCTCTCCTGCTGAGTGTCCCTACCGCCCCCCAGTGCTCCCAAACTCCTTGGCCCAGGCAAGAGCTCCTGCGTCACTCTCTGCCTCATGCCTCATTGGGTGCCCCCCCATCCAGCCCCTTCTGACAGCTTCAACCGTAGGCGGGCTCCTGCTTCCTCTCCCCCACAGGCCCTGCCATGGGGCCCCAGCGCACTCCTGCTCTCCTGCTTGCCTTTTTCCTTGAGGGGCTCCTACACACCTTCAGGATGGACTTTGTCGTTGCCTTGTCCAGTGAAGCTAGGCCAGCGCCCCCCCCACCCCAGGATGAGCACCACTGAAGGCCCTTCTGGGTGACTTGTGGCTGCCCAATTGCTCAGGGTCCTCTGCACCATAGAGCATTGGTTTATAGCTCTGCCCTGTCGTTCAGATCTGCAAGCCATCATGCCGGGGCTCAGTGAGTGTCTCAATGGATGAATGACAAATAGATAAATGCTTTTCCACAAACACTATGTACTCAGCCCACTAAGCAAGGAAATGAAACAAAATTTGAGTCACATATTTATGGTTTGAGGGTGGTCATCCCAAAAAGGCCAGCCAGCCAAGGAGCACTTGATGACCACATCTGGTCCCGGTAGTGTGGTGTCTACTCAGGCATGCTGTTTTCCTGCACTCCCAGAAGCCCTCGCGGGCCAGGGTGCATGGAGGAGCTGTGAATAATACTGCCCGTGCCGCCCTTTCCAGGGCCAGAGAGGGTTGGGAGTGACTCAGTCTCAGGAGGGGCTCAGGGAGCATGAGTTGTTTACCCACCAGGACTGTGGGCAGGACCCAGCCACCCTCACATCCTCCCTCAACCCCCTGGTGGCTTGGGTGGCATGTTTGGGAACATAGAGCTGGACAGGGTCAAGAGTTTGGACCATGTCTTCAAAAGGGAGCCATGAGTTTTGGAAAATATGGGGCAATGCCCATGAGCTCAACCACACTCACAAACATCCCTGTCACCAGCTGAGCCAGGAGATGCCAGAGCAAAGTGAGCACCCTGCCTCGTCCGGGGGTCGAGGTGCCTCTCAAGGTGGGCTCTCCATCATTCCGGCTCTGCAGAACCCAGCGAGTGATGGATGAATGGCATCTCTTTACCCTTTGGGGGACTAAATGGCCTGAGATGAATGACGTGGCAGATGGAGACATGGGGACTGTGCTCTTAGGCTGGGAGCTCCCTCCCCCAAATCATGGCCCATGATGGAGAAAGGAAGGGGATCCTCTAAGTTTCTCAGGGATACATGGCCTCCTTCAGGAGTCTCACAGACCTGGGCTGGGTCCCAGTCCTTCCGTTTTCTGCCATGCAGCCTTGGACCAACCTGTGTCTCAATGCTTTCCTCATAAAATGGAGATGTCTGGGTGGGCAGAGGGCAAATGTCCGGGAGGCCGTGTCCACGTGCACTCAACTGACATTTGCCCTTCCGCTTCTTCTCTGACTCAGACCCTCAGGCTCTCAGCCCACTCTCCTGGAACTGCTCTCTGGTAAACATCTAGGGGTCCCATTTTGACATCTTGCCCCTTGGTGTGACCTCCCTCCGCCCTAGGGATGGGCGTGGTATTGCAGGCCATATGGGAGGAAAACATCAGGCAGGGTCACCAGCTGGGGAGCAGGGAGGGCTCTGGGCCCTGTCCAGCACCATGACCCTTAGAGTCTTAGTGGGGTGGCCCTTCCCTTGGGCCCTGCCTGAGGAGTGCTTCGCCCATGCTGGATTTCTGGGTTCAGGTGACAGTGTGAGTCCACACATGCCACATCTCACCAGGGACCCTGCCTGACATGGGCGTACTTGTGCCAAACGCTGTTCTGAACTCTTTCCTTGGATTACGCCATAATTCTCACTGCAATCCCATAAAACAGCATATCCTGTATGCAGATAAAGAAACTAAGGCACAAAAGGATACGGTTGTTTGAAAGGAAGCCAGCATTTCCTCATCTGTCACCCCTTCCCCCATGTCCCAGGCCCTGAGGAGGAGAGCAACCAGTGGAGCTGCAGCATCTCTGAACACTGGCCTGAGGGCCCGCAGCGTTGTGGACACAGATGCAACCAACTGGCCAGCTGGGCAACACCCAGGCATGGCCCTGCTCAGGACAGGACATAAATGGGAAGTTGGAAGCCCGTGTCCCAGCTTCCTACCCGAGAGCCTTTACCAACCAGAAAACAAGATGGGTCCAGCTCCTGTCCAAGCACACAGCGCCCTCAAGTGGAAGAAGCAACAATTACAGCATCAGCAACAGGAGCAGGGCTTGCTGTGGGCGTTTCAGGGGAGGGATGGATGTCTTGTGGTTCAACCAGGCTCCCCATTGGCCAGGGGACTTGGAAGGGAAGGGAGGGAAGATGTGGCCACTAGCTCAGCAAACAGAGGGCAAGCAGAAATTGTGTGCCAGACTCTTCCCCAGGGGTGCAGCCCCTGCTCATCAGACTTGACCTTCAGCTCATGAGATAGATACTGCCAGCCAGAGTGCATGGAATCCAACCAGTAGAGGCACTAGGGAAGTGAAGAGTTCCTTCTGCAATAGGTCCAGTCTGTTGTGGGGACAGGTATGAGAAAACTCATAGCGTGGAGGAGTGAAAGTCCAGCTGGCTGCTGAGGGGCCATGAGATTGAGGGGGATCAACTGATGGGTAGAAATGGGCATTTGTGAGAGGTGTCCAAACACTCAGCCACCAAGTTTGGTCAAGAAATCATTCAGTTCCTGGATGGTACATTTAGAATCTTGTGGGGGTCTCCAAGTTCCAGGTGCAAAAGAAAAGTCTAGAAAAAATATTGTCAGCCTCTCTCTGCATTTTTGTCACCACCTTGCCAATGTGCCCATGACAGCCCCTCCATCCAATCAGGGTGGCCCAACCACAGGTGCGGATTCCCCCTACCTTTCTGGGTTCTTCAGAGTTTCCTCAATGTCTATGCCCAAAGCCTGGCACATCTGGGGAAGTGCCAGCAGGTCCCCGAAGAAAGGCTCTTGAGGCAAACGCCACCGGTTGGTTGAGCCAACGATCCGGCGCTCCAGCCGTGCTTTGTGTTGCTGGGTGATTAAAGAAAGAGAAAATCTTAACTTCCTGGGCATGCCAGAGTTTCCAAATTGTACAGCAGGAAGAAAATCAAGGCAAACTTTAAATTGCTGGTTAATTTTCAAACATGCTAATGTTTCTCATAGTCTCTTCTCAAGATAAGGATGCTGTCTGTATTCCATAGACCAAGGATCTAAAGCTACAGAGTTATTTGGAATTTAGGATTAAGGACAGGAGGGGCCAGAGGCCAAAGGTCAGGGGGAAAAAATTGGTTTCCTCACAGGTTGCTCTGAAGAGTCCACAAGTCATAGTGTTTGGCTTGAAGTACTGTTCTTTAAGTACCCTAATGTCATTCAGAGAGACTAAACTAAGGAGATCCTGGGCAGGGGCCTTTTTTTTTTTAGCAAAATATACAAAACATAAAATTCATAGTTGAAAAATATGAAACACATTATTCATTTTTAAAGGGTACAATTCAGTGACATTTAGCACATTGATAATGTCACGTGACCACCACCAGTATCGAGTTCCAGAACATTTTCATTGCCCCACAAAAGAAGCCCTATACCCATGAAGCTGTCACTCCTCTCTCCCCTCCCTGCCCTGGTGACCTCTAAGCTGCTTTCCAACTCCTCATATTTGCCTGTTCTGGATATTGCGTGCGCGTGGAACCACATGGTTCAAGGCCTTTGGGGTCTGGCTTCTTTCATTTAGCAGCATTATTTCCACACTGCGTTCCTTTTCGAGGCGGAATAACTGTGCACTATGTAGTATGCGGCATTTTGTTTATCTAGTCAGCAAAGGGACACGGTTGTGCCTCCCCCTAGGGCTATTGTGAAGAGGCTGCTGTGCATATTCCTGGGTGAGCTGTTGCTGATGGCCCGTGTTCTAATTTTTATTTGTTTGTTTGATACCCAGGAGTGGAACTGCAGGGTCACTTGGAATGGGGCCTGACTTAGAAATTTTCTTGAGGCTTCAGAAGAACTTCAGCTATTTCCTTAAGGGAGTGGGAGACCACCTACCATGAAAATAAACCTCAGACTCAAGACTCAAAGAAGCCAAGCAATAAAAAAGCACCACGAAAACCACAATGGACATAATTGGTCCTAAGCCTTCCAGACACCAGGAGGGTAGTGGAGGGACTGTGGACTGTGGAATGGAGGCTCTGAGCATAAATCTTCTTCTTCTTTTTTTTTTTTTTGTGGTGCTGGGGTTTGAACCCAGGGTATTGTGCATTCGAGGCAAGCACTCTACTAACTGAGCTATATCCCCAGCCACTGAGTTCAAATCTTGTTATTGCCACTTACTAGTTGTATGGCATTGGGAAAGTCACTGTACTCTTTTTTGAGCCTCTCTTGCCCTCATGTAAAGTGGAATCAGGTGAAATGGGAAGGATCTATGACAAAGATGATGATAATGACAACATATGATGATTATGACAATGGTACTGATGGTGGTGGTATGATGATGGTGTTGATGGTGGCGATGTTGGCGGTGGTGATGATGATGGTGTTGTAGTGGTAGCAATGGTGAAGTGTGATGGTGGTGATGGTGACCGTGATGGTAATGATGGTAGTGATGTTGATGGTGATAATGGTGACGGTGGTGATGACACCATCTTGCTTTCAGAGTTGTTAAAAGGGATCAAGTAAAGCTTGAGAAATAGGCGTTAGCATAGTGCCTAAAATATGGCGGGAGACTGAAAACTGGCTTGGGGTCCAGATGTAGTCCTGCTGTTGTGTGAGGCATGCACAGGGGTCAGCGCAGACAGTGGGCTGCTCTCTGCTTTCTGGACGGTGCTGCCTGGACATGCTCTTCCCAGCAGAGTCAGCCCGTAGAGCTGGAGGCCCTGGGAGGTGCCAGCCCTTGAGGAAACCTGGCAATCCTGCTGAAACCCGGTGCCTCTCCTCGCCATGACCTCCTCCTTGTGAGGCTGATCTACTCACCGGATTCAACATTTTAATGAATGGCAGTGGAGATACACAGCAGGAAAGAGATGAGCACCTGAAAGGCAAAAGAGCTAAATTTGAAATGTTCAGTAAATTTCCAAAGGGTCCTTCAAAATATTATGGAGGAAGTTGGCCTAAAGAATCTATATTTTGCCACAAAGTAAGGAGTCAGTCTCAAATGTGTGTTATTTGTCAAATCAAGAGGATATCTGGTTTTTAAAGGCACAGGAGTAGACAGACAATTCTCTGCCATTGTGCTGGGAAAGTGACTCAGATATAGCAGCACAGGGACAGCCTAGGATTCTCTGCACTGCAAAGCTGAGGAGGACCAAAGGCCGACAACAAACAGGCTGATTGTAAAATTTACTAAAGGGATAATATCATTATTATTTTAATATTTATTTTTTAGTTGTAGGTGGACACAATACCTTTATTTTATTTTTATGTGGTGCTGAGGATCGAGCCCAGTGCCTCACCCAGGTAGAGTCAGCGCTCTACCTCTGAGCCACAACCCAAGCCCCAGGTAATAGCATTAATAGGCCCAAACAACAGGTGTGGCCAGGGCTGTCCTGGACCCAGGGGACTTATGGCCAACACAGCTTAGAGGGTTTGAAAGGGAATAAACAGAGGATTTTCCAACTGTCTTTCAAGGCAATTTGTTTGCATGCAACAGAAACCAATCTGGCAGGGTGCAGTGGTGCACGCCTGTCATCCCAGGGGCTTGGGAGGCTGAGACAGGAGGATCATGAGTTCAAAGCCAGCCTCAGCAAAAGTGAGGCAATAAACAACTCAGTGAGACCCTATCTCTAAATAAAATACAAAATAGAGGGATGTGGCTCAGTGGTTGAGTGCCCCTGAGTTCCATCCCTGTTACCCCCCCCCCTTCTCCCCAAAACCTTGCCTATCAAGTCAGCCTGGGCTGGGGTGTAGCTCAGTGGTGGAGCAACTGCTTAGCGAGTGTGAGGCCCGAGGTGTGATTCCCAACACCATAAAAAAGATATGTCCTTCATGGCTGGATTTCCACCTTGCCCAGGAGGTTTCTCCTGTCCCCAGGAAATACAAAGCTACTTCTCTCACCCCCTTCCCACCCAGGAGTTAGAATGGCCTGCAACTCGCTACCTGAAAACCCCCCTCCAGCTTCCCATGTCCCTTGATTTCAACCCCAAGACCTCAACGTGGCGGAGAGGAATCGGAGAACAGAGGACACCAGGGCAGACCTAGTCTGCCCAGAATGAGACACGCCACCAGGACTCCAGGATGGCAGGAATCCTTCAGCTTGGAGGAAGGGTTTGGGGATTCGCCTGGAGCTCTCCCAGCCACTGCTTCCCTTGACAGGATACCCGGGAGCCTCACTAGCTGATCTTGAACCAGGGGTACCTCCGTGGCCCAGAACGTGTGTGTTCTTTTCTCATCCCACCAGGCAATATGCCCTTAGTGGCTTCTGAGAGTCAGCTCCTAAGTCCCCCTGAGTAATGGCAGCTGCTCCTGGTGGCCCCTCAGCTCCCAGAGCCCCTGCTCTCCAGCCAGGAATTCCTGAGGTCCCTCTGCCAGCTGAGCCCAGTGTGAGCAGGACCCGGCCCTCCGAGGCCCTCTCGGTCTCTAGACTGGATAGAAGAACCAGTCCTACTTACAGTTGGGAGGCCCTTTCGCCCAGCAGCGGAGTGTTTACTGAGGAGATGTGTCCAGGGGAGGGACCCTCATCGCACTGTCTCTGAATTTCAGGGGGACTGGCGGCTGGTCACTCCTGAGCCTGAATTCCGATAGCTCTGATGACATCTGGAGCTCACCCTTTTCTTCTTAGCTGGGCGCTTGCCTTGGTTTCCTGGGGGCATTGCGGGCACCATGGCGACAGCAGGCAAGGTTCCAAGCACTTCCTGTCCTGGGTTCTGGTTTCAGCGCAGGATGGGGCGTATCCCAGGTTCTCAGAGGGGAACTGAAGTTCTCACTGTGAGCAAGGGCTTCTCACAGGGACTAACTGGGTCCCAGGTACTTCCTCCCCAGCCTCCTCCCAGAGAAGCAGTGCCACCCCGGTTCCCTTAGAGCACCAAGATCTTCCTGGAGCCACCTGGGGCCACCTGGAAGAGTCTTTAAAAAGGCTTCCCTGAGGGTCAAACCCTGAGCATCAGCTGTCAATGAGGTTAGACTGCAGGTTCTCAGATCCCTCCTAGCTCTGACATTCTGGGGGACTCTAGCTTTCTGTATCCAGAAATGTTTGGAGAAAAATATTTCAATAAAAATGGAGTTTTACAATATTAAGAGCTCTGCCTAATGGGTTGCTTTGTTGATGGGTAATTTTTCAATTTATTCTCTCTGGGAACAAGAACTACCTAAAAGTCAAGGGCAAGACCAAGAGCTTTTGTGCCGGGGACCAGGGTGGAACCTTGCCGTGACTTGGCTTGCAAAGCCTCTGCCCGCCACCGAGGAACGCATCAGTCACATCCACCTCGAACCGTGGTCCATCAAGCTTGGACCACTACTCCAGGGTTGCAGAAAGCCCTAGGCATAGTAACAGGAACCTGAAATTGGGCAGATTATGAGATTGGAGGATGGACTGTCTCCCAGGTTTCTTCTCAGCCTCTCCTGAGTTATGGAAATTACAAAGTAGCACAGGAGAGTAGCTACTCTACCTGTAATTGTGTTCAAGAAAATAGGAAGCCCACATAACACACACATACACACACACACACACACAAGAAAATATAAGACACTACATAGTTGGGAGGCAACTCTGAATTTACCTCTCTCCTTATCCTGCAATCCTGCCGGTCCTGATGCCCGAACTCTTTGCAGAGTAGTTGGTTACTCTCTGTCTTCTAGGAACCCAACAACTGAACTTGGCTCTTAGAAAGTGCTTGACAAATCCTCTAGAATTGGTTGATTGAATGTACTACTCAACAACTCTGCTTTTGCATGTGGATGGATGTTGTGTGTGTGTGCATGCCTGTTCATACATGTGTGTATGTGTGGGTACATGTGTCCCTGTAGGTCCTGGTCCTGGTGCTAGTACACAAATGTCATTGTTGGCAATTGCATTCATGTATTCATGAATGGGGTGGACTGGTTTAGAGCAGTGTCTTTGGGTTGTACATTGGATGTGGGGTTTGGGAATAAAATAGGAGGGGGTTTCGTGGTAGGCTATGAGTGACCCTAGCAGCTGCTGCCATCTGGCTGAAGAACAATTGATGCTCAGGGTTTTGTGTTTACTGGCAGCAGCAGCAGCTGGTGCCACAGTCAGACTTGAGGTGGGGTCCAAAGGAACCCACTGTCGCTCTCCTCTTTGACTAGCACTGCCAGAGAGGTCAGGAGGCAGGAGAACAGTGTGGCAAGAGACTGGGGGCAGACACTGCCTTTGTTTTACATTTTAGATCCTGCCTACCCTCCCCTGGGTAGCCAGCCTCCAACCCTGCTGCCCGGCCTGCAGGAGCCAGAGGCAAGAGGCAGAGCCTACCTTCCTGAGACAGGCCCCGGGGCTCTCACACTTGAAAAACAAAGTATTGTGGAATTTTTTTTTTTCCTTTTGCAAATGCAACTCACTTATAGGGACAATTTCAGAGGCAAAATATATTGAAAAGAAAAATAATTCGAATTCCATGGCCAAAGTTAACTGTCAATAGTATATCAATATTTTGTGTGTGTATACATAAATTTTAAAAGATGAGATTGTACTCTATTTACTTTTTTCACCTGAGTTGTTCACGCAAAATATTACAAATGTCTTCCCCCACATTCTTCTTTTAATTCTAATTTGTTATATATGACAGCAGAATGCATTACAATTCATATGACACATATAGAACACAATTTTTTATATCACTGGTTGCATACAAAGTATATTCACCTCATTCGTGTCTTCATACATGTACTTAGGGTAGTGATGTCCATCTCATCCCACCCTCTTTTCTACCCCCATTCCCCTTTCCCTTCCTCTCTCACCCCCTTCCCTATCTAGAGTTTGTCTACTCCTCCCATGTTCCCCACCCCACCCCACTATGAATCACCCTCCTTATATCAGAGAAAACCTTCAGCATTTGGTTTTTTGGGATTGGCTAACTTCACTTAGCATTATCTTCTCCATTTACCTGCAAATGCCATGATTTTATTCTCTTTTATTGCTGAGTAATATTCCATTGTGTATGTATACCACATTTTCTTTATTCATTCATCCACTGAAGGGCATCTAGGCTGGCTCCACAGTTTAGCTATTGTGAATTGTGCTGCAATAAACATTGATGTGGCTGTTTCCCTGTAGTATGCTGTTTTTAAGTCCTTTGGGTATAAAACAAGGAGTGGGATAGCTGGTTCAAATGGTGGTTCCATTCCCAGTTTTCCAAGGAATCTCCATACTGCCTTCCATATTGGCTGCAACAATTTGCAGTCCCACCAGCAATGTTTGCCTTTTCCCCCACATCCTCGCTAACATTCTTGAGCATGACTATTTATGGTGACATTGTTTCCTGGTGTGGAGCAGATGGTGGTTGGTGTAACCAGCCCCCTCTGCTGGACATCAGTGGTGGGTGCAGGCCCTGCAGCCAGGCAGGCTGAGTGTCTGCACAGGGGAACTGCAGCAGCGCACACCGACAGCCACATAGGCACACACACACATCCTGCACCTTTCCTTTTAAAGTTTGGTCTATTGCCCCCATCCTATCCCAATTCCAAGACCATGGTGTGTGTGTGTGTGTGTGTGTGTGTGTGTATGCAGTGTAGGGGTATATCGTAGAAGAAGCCTGCATAAGTGGACAGATCTGCTTTCTCTATGCTGCTTCTTCCTCTTCACCCAAAACTTTTCCCAGATAATTGCCCCCGGACTTTAGGGCCTCATGTAAGTTTTCAATTAAAAAGTCTGATGGAGGGCTGGGGTTGTAGCTCAGTGGTAGAGGGCTTGCCTCGCGTGCATGAGGACCTGGATTCGATCCTCAACGCCACATAAAAACAAGTAAATAAATAAAAATAAATATATTGTGTACATGTACAACTAAAAAAATGTTTAAAAAAAAGAAGAAGAAGTTTGACGGAGCTGGGGTTGTGGCTTAGTGGTAGAGCCCTTGCAAGTCACATGTGAGGCATTGGGTTTGATTCTCAGCATTGCATACAAAAAATAAATAAATAAAATAAAGGTTTATTGGGGCTGGGGATGTGGCTCAAGCGGTAGCGCGCTCACCTGGCATGCGTGCGGCCCGGGTTCGATCCTCAGCACCACATACAAACAAAGATGTTGTGTCCGCCGAGAACTAAAAAATAAATATTAAAAAATTAAAAAAAAAAAAAAAAAAAAATAAAGGTTTATTAACAACTAGAAAAAAATTTGTAAAGTTTGAAATACATTACCCAAGACTTTCTTGACATCCCACCTGCCCTGTGGGGACCACTTCTGGGGCACCCAGCTAAGCAGGTCCTTGGGCTCCCCCTACTGGCCACTGTAGGGAGTGTCTTTCTGCTTAGGGTGCCATAGTCCTGATGGCTTCTACACAGAAAGCCTGGCCTTGGCTGGGTCCATCACTTCCTGCAGCATCTGAGCTCAGGGATCCAGGGCCTTAGTCCCACCCCTAGAGTTCTTAGCACATACATTCTCCACAGAACTTTCAGGAACTGAGCTGTAAATCAAAGACAACAAATAAACATAAATGAAAATAGCTCTAGCATCTTTCTCTGAAAACTATTTACCTGGTGGTGCCCAGCATGCTCAGGATGTGCAATGACCTAGACACCTGAGTCCAGTCCATGGGAGGGAAAGAGAAGAGCATAATGTACATCAGCATTCCAGCCACTGGAGTGGGGGAGGGATGTCCAAACAACTGCTTTCTATCTCACCTGACTTGGAGCATCAATGAGGAACTGGCACACTGGGGTCCCTAGGGGTTAAAAACAAAACAGAACTCAATGTCTTGTAGCACTAAAACACCAGCAGCACTGCAGACAGACACAGGGGAAGAAGAGGCTGCAAAGTCCTAAAAAGAAGCTGACAACAATTCCTGATGAAATGCACAAGCCCAGAAGAGATACACCTCCAGAGAAAGTTTGTGAGGCCCCCAAAATTAGTAGCCAGGCTGTTTGTTTCTTATGAATGTTTTTTTCCTGTTTGAAGATAGTCTATAAAGACTGGAAAAGGTGGTTGTTTGATAAAATAATAAAAAAACAGCAATAAATAAATAAAATAAGAAGGCACATGAAGAAACAGGGAATCATATCTCAGTCAAAAGAATGTTTCAAAAATAGACCGTCAAGAAATGGAGATCCGTGAGTTACCCGACAAGGAATTGAAAATAACTATCTTACAGAAGTTCAATGTGTTATAAAAGAATACAAACAAAATCAGAAAAATGCTATATGAACAAAGTGAAAATATCAACAAAGATAGGAATCATAGAAAAGAACCAAGAAGAAATTCTGGAACTGAAGAATATAATAACTGGTTGAAAAAAATCCCTAAAGGAGTTGACTAACATATGTGATCGAACAGAAGAAAGAGGGACTGTGGTTGTGTCTCAGTGGTAGAGCACTTGCCTAGCATGTGTGAGGCACTGGGTTCAATCCCTGGCATCATATAAAAATAAACAAATAAAATAAAAGGTATTGTGTCCATCTACAACTAAAATTTTTTTAAAAAAATTTAAAAACAGAAGAAAGAATGTGTGAACTTTTAAAAAACAGGGCATTTGAAATTATTGAGTTAGAGGAACAGAAAGAAACAAGAATGAAGAAAAGTGAAAAAATCCTAAGAGACTTATGTAAACCTTCCAGTAGACCAATACACTGGAGGAGAAGACAAACAGCAAGAGACCAAGAGCTCATAGGAGAAATTAATGCCTGAAAGCCCCAAATATAAGGAAGGAAATAGAGATTCAAATTGAAAAGTAGAATAGTGGTTGGTAAGGGGGTAGGTTAGGAGGGACAGGGGATTGTTCAATGGATATGGAGTTTCAGTTTTGCAAGATGAGAAAGTTTTAGAAATCTGTTGCACAACAATTTGGTTATAGTTAATAATACCATACTATACACTTAAAAAGGGTTAATAAGGAAACCTGTTATGTGTTCCTGTACCATAGTAGTAAGAATATGTTAATGTTAGAAGAAACTGTTAAATATTAAAAAGAAAAAGGGAAGAAAAGAAACCTCAGCATCTTACCAGGATCCGGGGAAGGAGCAGTCACCAGCACCATCCGTATTATCTCTTTCAAGTGCCCCATGCAGAGCACTATTTTTCTCTCCTGGAGTCAGCAATCTGAGATGCAGGTGTCTGCAGGGAATGTACCTTGGCTTGGCCTTTGGTCCCTCAGATATCACACCTAAGGGGCTGAGCCCCGAGGTTGAATGGAAAAGAAACCCCCCAGGACCCCTGCCCCCATAAGTCATCAGTGACCCCTTCCATCTTTCCCTCCTGCTCTCATCCACATCTCTAGCCTCAAAAAGTTGTTTTAGTGTCTCAAGCCACCTTTAACTTGAGAGCCCTAGGGGGAGTGCCGAGCTGGAAAGAAATATACTAGAAGCTTCAAATTACGACTGACTTGGCAAGCTGCGGTTCCTGAGGCCCTGCTAATCTCACAGCTGCAGGGGGACTGACCAGCGATCCCATCCAGGAGCACACACAAGTCCACATGCTGACAGAAAATAAGCAGAGGAGAAAAAGTGGCTGATCTCAACCCCGGTGGGCCCTAGAGGCCAGAACTCCTCCCAACTGCGCTTTGGGTAAGCAGAGATACGACACCTGGGTCCAGAGAGGGTCAGTGACCTGCCGTGAGATCACAGCTAGAAGGTGGCAGAGCTGATGCCTTAGAGTCTAGCTCCCCAGGGGCAGAGCTGATGTGAGTTTTCCGCTCCATCTCCCTGCCAAAATGCCTATGAGGGGGCAGAGGAGGAAGAGGGCTGTTGTCTTTCCACGCCCACCTTCTCTTTGGGGTCTCCTGGCCTCATACCTCTGTCTCGCCTTGACACAGCCCTTAAAGGTTTTGAGGGAATCACATTGATGGAAATACTCCATTTAGTATCCCCAGTGAAGCATGTTGACGGACAATGGGGGGGCTGACGTGGCACTTCCTGCAGCATCCCAGAGACAGAGCCACCTCCCAGGGAGGGCCAGGGTGGTGAAGTAGTTGTGCACACCAGTGGGGCTGAGGTCATGCCAGGCTGGCTGACAGGCAGGAGAGCAGCGTGGGGGCCAATCACACTCCCCCCTGAGGGCAGGGGAGCAATTACATATGGGTATAGCCCGAGTGGAAGGCTGTTTGGCAGTGAGTTGCCCAGACTTTAAAAATGAGCACATGCTTAAGGTGTCAGCTGGGCTGCCACCAAAAATATAAAAATATAAAATAAAATAAAAACAAAAATAAAAGTCCTCATCCTGAGAAAGAACAAAGCAGCCTCTGAAACCTGGAGCTGGCCTGGCACTCAATGCTGGGCCTTGACTATAAACAATGTCACAGATCATCAGCATCAGGCCACTCGGACTGTGGTGGGTCCAGAAAAAACAAGATCGACCCCTAGAAGTGTCTGAGCAGAATGTGAGCATCATCCAAATCACAAAAGGGAGCAAAGATCCTGGCTTTTCACCAACGGCAGTTTTAGAGAAGACGCAATGAAACTCATTCTTAGAACTGCCTGTCTCCCTGACAGCATCCAACCAGGAGCACAGCCCACTACCTTACCTCTCCCAAGAATCACCTAATCCCAGGCCAAAGCCTTCCCAAGACCCTCTTCCTGAGCTGCCTCGGGCGCCCCCTGGTGTGCGTCCTGCCTCACTGCAGAAAACCACGAACCCAAGCCGCTCAAGCCCCGTGAGGGGCTCCGGAGTTAAACCTAAAGGAGTAATTCCTGGACTCCTGCGGCTTGCAGGATGAGGGCAAAACACCCAGCACCCTGCAAACGCACGGCCTCCGCAGGGGCTGGATTAAGCACTGGGAATGCTGCGCTGCCCCTCAGCATTTACTGCTGTGAGTTTACCAAAGGGCAGCTCATGAGCTCCAGAGACAGCGAGGGACAAGTCAGAGGCCATGGGCCCTGGAGACTTTGGCTCACTGAAAGAGAATAACTACACGTGGGCTGAAGGAAACCACGAAAGGGACAGGTCTGCAGCTGAGCTGAGGTGAGCTTCACCCACCTTGCAAGTCACAGAAGAGACCCTCACCCTACCCACACCCCCATAGCTGAGGCTGCCAGGGGCCTTCCCTGTTGGGGGGGGGGGCTTTGTGAAGAGAGCAGCCCAGAGCCACTGTGCCTAGGGCAGAAGATGACAGGTAAGCTGAGGGCCACTGGGGTGTCTGGGCCTCACCCCACATCCCACTGACACACATGTTCCCCAACAAGAGACAGCCATCTCCACATCCCTGCTCTGGATGGGACCTTATTTGGAAATAAATATATTGGCAGATAAAGCTGGATCTCAAGATGAGGTCATTTTGAATTTGGAATGGGCTCTAAGTCCAATGCCAGGTGTTGTATAAGAAGGGAGAGGGAAATACAGAAAGGAGAAACCATGTGATGTCAGGGGCAGAGGACAAGTGCAGCTACTGCAAGCCAAAGGACAGCAACCACTGGAAGCTCAGAGAGGCACAGAGCAGATCCTCCTTCAGAGCCCTGGCCTCTGGAACAGTTAGAGTAAGTGTCTGTTGTAAGCTGCTGGACCTAGGAAACAAACACACCCTTTCATCTGAACCCCTCTCCTCCTGTCCTTGACCCTCTGTCCCTGAGCAAGTGGGGAGTAGTGAAGGAGTCTGACAGCTGGCAATTGATTAAATAAGCAGCTTAATTAGCGGCCTCCTGGTCATTGCCTACTCTTTCCTAATCATTTAGAGGGGAATAGATGACGTTTCAGGGTTGATCTTTGCACATCAAGGGCCAGACAGGAAGAGTGACATAGCCCTTTACTTCCTGGACCCAATAAAAGGAAATAGATTTTGCCTCCTAAGCCAGAGGCTTTGTAAAAACAAAAATCTAAGTTAATCCAATGCATCCACTTAATTATTTAAGTAGCAAGTCAATATTTCTCATTAGCTTCATCTTACAAACTCAGCCATGATAATGAATGTGAATCAATGGACAAAGAAATGAGCCCAAAGAAGAGCAAGAGGCCAAATCTGATATTATTTCATGAAGGCAAGAAAGGCTCAACCCCTTCCCAGAAAATAAATCGCAGCCACACTCATTGCCAAGATCCAAAGAAAAAAATTTATTTACAATAGAGAATTTTATTTGAAACATGCATTTTTTTTAAAACAAATCAGCAAGTGCAGATCAAGTTTACACTCCTTAAGGCAAGAGTCCCAATGCACGCTGTACATGTTCATATTAAATCAAACCTGCTCACCTGGGAATTTGTGTACAAAGGGCAAGACCAAGGTCAGCAATGTGTTTATTAGAGAATCAGACAATCTCCCTGATACAGGAACTCTGAGGTCAACTTGCTATGAATTATACTAGGAAAATGCAAACCAATAGCAAGAAATCCTGATAGTCTCCTTAGCACTGCATACAATCAAATCAACTTTATTCAGAAAGGAAATACAGTAGTGCATACGAAAAGTGAAAACAGAGCCTGTCCATGTGGGTGGAAGGACGGCAGTGCGCCCACGGCCATATTGCACGTGATGGTCAAGTTCCAGCATTTGGTTCAAAGTTAGCTTTTCCCCATTTTGGCAATCAGTTCATCACAGATCTTGGTGAGTTCTTCTATCTCTTTATTCTGAAAATGAAGACAAGAATTAAGTTCTTGATGTTTGAAATCAAGCCACTTAGAAGATCACTGGACTCTTTGGGGCAATGGGGTTACCTAAAGCGGCAGGAAAACTCAAAGCCAAACAATCTGAGTATACATCCCAGCTCTGGCTATGTGACCTTGGGCAAGGTACACAACCTCTCTGAACCTCGGTTTCCTTATCTTTAAGAGGTAGGTGATAACATCTCTCTAAAAATTAAAAATGAGGCAAAAAATATAAAGTTCTTCTGGGTGAGCATCCAGCACACAGTGTGGACCTTGCCTCTCTATTTGCCTCTGACGGGTGGTCTGGGCTGAGCTCTTTGGAGGTTTACTTGAGAAATGGCCCAAGGGTGAAGCAATTTTACCTGGATGGAGAACACCAGCCATATGGGGAAGATGCCCAGTAGGCTAAGTCAGTACCATACTCGAATCGCAGGGAATTTCATCTGTGTATTTTATCTCTAGAGCAAAAAGGAGCCTAGCAGCCAAGGGGAAGGACAATGCTTGCCCAGGGCCATTAGATGGCAGAGTAGGGAGGAGCTGAGCATCCTGATTCCCAAGTTCTTTCCCTGACCTCCCCTAGTGAAGTGAGTTGGTACTGCCCAGGGCAGAGGTCACTGCGCCTGACCCACAGGCTGCTCTGGTCAGCCATGCTGCAACCTGGCAGGGTGTGGGCGGATGAGAGGAGCTGACCTCCTGGGGACAGCAGGATGTTTCCACAGGCACATTGGACTCCTGATGCTCACCTGCCTATCAAGACCCCTCACCTCTGCCCAGCAAAGCCCAGCTGCTCGAGAAGTGATGCTGCTCAGACCACTCTCAAATGACCACTGGAGGATCCTAAGGTTGGGTCCTTATCTGGAATGGGCTGGCCACTGCCTAGACTCAGACTCATTGGCCTAAGCACATAAGGCTCCTGGGCCACAGGGGCTCCTCATCTAGGAACCCAGGGAGACGGGCACACCGTGCGCTGAGCAACTCTGGGAAATCCACCTCCATCCATGGAACGCGAGACCACGCGGGCCTTTAGCCTGACACTGCCCATCCTCTGCAGAGCCTGGCAGGCACTGATCACTCTGCAACAAGCACACGGGCTGCAGGCTTCCAGAACCATGCCAGCACATCACAGGTGCTAACAAATATTTGTCACATGAATGATGCTGACAAGGAATGAAAAATGGAAATAAGTCCATAAGCGGTTCTAGGAAGGGCGGAGAGAAAGTCTGTTTCAGGGCTAGCACTGAACCGGGCCTCCCAGAGGCTTCTCAGGAAGCTTGAACTTGTCTGTTGGGCCGGCCCTGCCCGGGAGCCCCCACCTCTGTGTATCTGATGGACTGGCCGGCCGTCAGGGCACCAGCCCCCGCCCAGAGGCCCACCCTCCCCGTCACCTTCTGCTCCAGCGTTCTTTCCAGGGCGTCCACTCGCAGCTGCTCCTTCCGCAAGCTGGCCTGGTAGGCGGCCTGCTCCTGCTGGGCCTTGCCTCGAACCTGGGCGATCTCAGCATTGGCCCTGTGGGAGAGGGGACCCAGAAATTAGACCTCTTCCCATAGGTGGCCGTAGATCACTGCAGACACCTCCCGCCTCCCTCGTCCCTACCCTGGGCAGCGGGAGGGGCCGCTAGAGCGCCCAGCCGAAGGGCTGTGTTACCTGTCCAGCTTCTCCTCCGCGTGCACCTTCAGGGCCTGGTACCTCTGCTCCTCCTTCTTCACGCGGGACAGGTACTCCTGTGCACATTTCTTTAGCACCTCTTCATTCTAGCATGGCAGAGGACAGGGGTCAGAACCCCCAGGAGAAACGCCCCGACTCGGGCGCCCCACCAACTCTCTGATGCAGGTAGAACCCAGGTGGCCAGTCTGACTCCCCAGCCTCCTTCAGACTCCCACCCCGACACAACGGGCCCCCCAACGTCTCCCCCAAACAGGCCAGCCTCCTGCTCTGCCCGCGAGCTCGGACGCACCTTGCGGAAACCTTCCAGGACCTCCTTCATCTTCTCGTATCTCCTGAAAAGGTCGGCCAGAGACTTCTCCACGGAGTTCAGGTCGGCCAGGGCTTGCTCCTTCTCCAGGACCAGCTGCTGCACTGTTTGGTGCGAGACTGACTTCTCCCTCTGTTCATCCTCTGGGGGGAGAGACAAGAAGCCAAACGATGGAGACTGTGGAACCCAAGCTGGGCCTCCGGAGCCAGCAGAAGCTTCAGGTATAACTCAGCCCAATCAGCCCTGGCTGTCCTTGGGATGGGCCGACGCCCCAGATCCCTCCCAGATGGTCTCTGATGGCTCCAGCTTCTTAGGCCTGGGCCCATGCAATAGCACACGGGGTGGAAATTAGCCCTTATTCTTTAACCTGCTCAATGCCTCACTGACAAATCTACACCGGGGAACCCCACCGAGCCTATTTTTCCTGACAACAAACAGGTCTGCTCAGAAAAAAGGAAGACAACACTACTGAATTTTGTGGGGGGCGAGATTAATGGGTGCTGTGGCCTGGGCTTCCCAAGTGCTACCAAGACTGACAGAACGTCATTGGGAGAGACAAAGGTTTCTTGATCCCTAAAATATCCCAGAATCTCAAAGCCCACAAGATAGTTCCCCTGCAACTGTTTCAGGCCAACACTGACACTCCTCTGTGCAGCGAGGACTGGGCTCTAGGAAAACATCATTTCTGCAAAGTGAGTTTCTCAGTGATGCACGAAGAACAAGCCCCGGGGCCCAGTGTGACTGCCAGCCCTGGTGTGAGGAAGAGCACTGCTCTCCAGAGCTCCTCTCTGGCCCTCGACCATCTCTGTGCTGATGCGACAGGCTTCCTCAGACATTCTACATGAGGCCTGTGGCCCAGTGTGACTGCCAGCCCTGGTGTGAGGAAGAGCACTGCTCTCCAGAGCTCCTCTCTGGCCCTCGACCATCTCTGTGCTGATGCGACAGGCTTCCTCAGACATTCTACATGAGGCCTGTGGCTCCCTCCAGCCTCTGCATGCTAAGCCTAGGGGCTTCAGGACTTCCCTGTCCTGGTGACAGCAGAGTGAGGAAGGCAGAGGCCCTAGAGCTCCTGGGGGACACACCCAGCAAACCTGCCAGCCCCAGATCTCCTGGGAAGGGGCTGCCCGGGACTGACTCCTAGTGCTGGCTGCCACCAGGGAGTACATCTGGAATTGGTGAGCAGCCACCAGGTGCAGGGCTCTGCCCCAGCACCCAGCCAGAGCTGAAGGGCCACCCTCACTCTACCCCTGCAGAGCCCCCACAATGGCCGCCCTTGCACTGGGACTAAAATCCAGGTTCCTTCGCCACACACTCCGCCCTTATCCTCCCTGGCATCTCTGCTACAGCCTGATGGCCTCAACACCCAGGTGCCTCCTGCCCCAGGGCTCAGGTGGCTCCAGAGCTTCCCATTCATGAAGGCCTCTGACCCTTGTCACTGGCCAAGGTGTAGGAAAGGCCCTCCCCCACGCTCTAGCCTTTCCTCCCCACGGCAGCAGCTCCCCCCCATATTGTTTTAGCAGCTGTGTGCACACACACAGGGGCCCGTACAGGTGTGTGTGCTGGCTTCCGTCCCCACTGAACCCACTCCAGGCGGGCGCTGGTTGATTTCGTCTACCACTCTGTCCCAGGCACATAGGATGCCACTACACAAGTCCATGCGATGAATGAACAAGTGAAACCTCACAAGGACCCAGGTGCAGGTTTTCTTGTCCCCATTTTACAGAAGGCGAGATGGGGATGTGAACAGCTAAGTCCCTCGGTTACCGAGGAAGCAGCAGAGTCTGTGTCTAAACCCAGAGCCATGATAGGGAGTGTGTTCTACGTGGGCCTCTTGTGGGGCCAGGCCTCGAAGGACGCAGCTCCTGTGATACCAGGGAGGTTGCTTTGGGGTTTTGTCCCTAAGGTTCCTCCTAAGTCTGCATCTGGCTTGAGTTAGGGGACCCTTGGCATGTGGTGTGATGGCGCCACAAGCTGAATTTTTAGCTCCAAACCTGACATCAAGGGTCCTGACCTCTCTGGGTCCCAGGGCCTTACCAAGTCAAGATGCTTCTCACGTGTGAGCTGCATGTGATCAGGTGGAGGGCTGTGCATGGACTTTGAGGCCCACCCTGACTTCCTGGTTTGGTAGTGTCAGTGGGGCTGGGGCTCTGCATCAGTAACAAGATTCCCAGTGATGGAGATGCTCCAGGACCAGGACCACACTGGCCAAGAAGATGCCTAATGCCCCCCTGTCCCTGCCTCTGTGATCACAAGGGTCCTTAGCACTCTTGCTACCGGCAGCTTGGAGCTACACAGGACAGTGGCCAAGGTGCTCCCGAATTTAACTGCCCAGGTTCAAATCCTGATTCTGACACTTCCCAGCTATGTGACCTTTGGCAGTTTTTGACCTTTGTGAGTCTCAGTTACCTCACCTGAAATAGGAAACAATAGCATTTCTATCACACAGCATTGGGGTGGGGGGGGGTTAAATGAGATACTACAGACAAAGCCCTTGACACCTAGGAAGAGTCCAATACCAGTGACTCATTATCAACTACGTCACTGTCCATAACGAATCCTGTAATGGTGTCACTCCTGAATCTGTGTGGCAGTGTCATGGTGACTTCAGAACACACAACAGAATCACCAGCAGCCTGCTTGCTAAGTCTACATTCCTAAAACAAAGGGTGTTTCTAAGTTTCACTAGCAACCCAAAGCTTCTTTTTCTTCTTTGAATTTTAGCTTCTTCCTTAGTTTTCAGCATGGGTTGAGACATCTATTCAGGGCTGATTTGTGGCCACATATGAATCTCACTCTGTGGGGTAAAGGAGTCATTTATCAAATGGAGTCTATCTGATTTCCTGGATCAAGACGTTGCCTGCCTTAGGTTTCCTTTCCTCCCAACCTAACCCTTTCAAAAATAGAATTGCCAGTTCCCAGGAGACCAAGGCGGCAAGAATACTGCACAAAGCTTTTTATATGTGACCAATGCAGTTAGGTTCTTAAAAATCAGGAAATCAGCTTCAGACCAGAAACACCCCGGACCCAACAACAGAACGATGCTTCTGAAGATTTTTTCTGGCTTCTTCAGGCAAAAGGTTATTAAATGCAGCAAATATGCAAAAGCAAAACGAACAAAAATGGAAAAACAAAACACAAACAAGGGTTGCAATGGGTAGGGGACCAGTTAGGGGGAAGCGTCTACTTACCAGGCTTGCCTGTTTGTTTTGCAAGCAAAGGGCAAGAAGCAACAGAAAATGGAAGCAAAACAGATAATCAGGGCAGTTGTTAGAAAAGCAGAAAAAAACAATTGCAACAACCTGGAATGCAGAAAGCACAGAAATCTCCTTTTGTTCTAAATCCCAGATAGCCAATATCTGATTTAATAAGACACATTTTCGTAGTAAGCCGAGGAGGGACAATGGCAGCAGGATGGATGTCACAGCTGGCGAAGGCCGTGCAGAGCCACAGAGCCAGGAAGAGCCAGCCCAGGTGGGCTAAGCTGGAGTCAGCGGCAAAACCCTTTTCCATTCATGCTGGTGCTGGACTGACTGCCCAGCCCTCAGGGGGCCTGTGTCCCCTCCCCTGAGTGGTGCTGTTAGGTGACAGGAATTGGAAGAGAACTATGGAACCCAGATGTGGCTGATGGGCCCGTTACACGCGCCCACGGCGACAGTCAGCCAGTCATGCCTCTGGCTCCTGCTATATTCTACTAGGACACTTGAAACATATGGTGGCCTTAATCAGTGACCTGCAACAGTGACTGGAGGCTGACAACCACAGACAGGCCACTTCTGATGAGAAAGCTCTGGAAAAGCAGATGATGGGGGGGGGGGGGATGAGGACAGGAGTAGACTCAGTGAGATATCACCCTGGTGACAGTGTGTCCCTGGTACGGATGCTGTGGGGGTCCCATAAGCCACCCAGAGAGCTCTCCCAAGAAAAGGAAAATGCCCCAAGAATCCAGCTCTTGGAGACAGAACCTCAGGCCAAACACACCAGGTGGCTGTAATCCCTGGAGTGGGGCGGGGGGTGGGCAGCACCCCCTGCCAAGGGCCACTCTGGAATTAGATCACATCTCAGGGTAAAAATACTGAATGCTCCCACCTGCAGTCTTTCTGCAAGGAAAGCATGAGAGTCAATTAATCTTTCTGTCCCAAGGCCAGGCGGCTTGTGTCAATGAGGAAGGGTCTCATGCTCTGAGTTCTCTAAAGGGAATGCCTGCTTCAATCAGCTTCTCCTGCTGGGCACCCAAGCTGGCCTTCTCTCAGGAGCAAACCTCAAGCCCCTTCACCCCCATTTCTACATGTGCCAAAATGTATGTCCCTGCCAAGGGCAAAATACTCAGGAATGTAGTGGGAAGTTCCGGATGAGCCATGACGGGTCTAAGTGATGCTCCCCTCTTCCCAAGACTGCAGAGGCCAAAGGGTACTCTGAACGTGCAGAGCTGAGGACATAAAGCCTTCACCCTGACTGCTTTTACCAGCATGTCGATTCCAAGAGTTTTGAAGTTTCTATCTCATCCAGATGTGTTCATAAATTCTTACGACAATTGAACACAGAAATTTCATGTGATGGAAAGCACACAGAAGGGGGCAGCCGAGGGGCATCTCCCAGAGGTAGGGGCAAACGGTCTTTATTACAGGACCACAATGAGCGCTCCTCTGATTGGACAGTGCCTCTCCACCATTCCCGAGGCTTCTGTTTTCTTTATCTTGGGACAAGCTACAGGTGGGGTGTGATTGGCAAATCCAAACATTTGAGAGAGAGGGGGCTCATTTGCTAGCTTAGTGTAAAGCTTAAACATATAAACTGTGGTTGGCAGTGACCTGGAGATTTTACATATATCCTTAGGAGAAAAGAGTTTTTTTTTTTCCCCCCCCCAGTTTTTGCAGTTCCTGGGGATTGGACCCATGGGCTCTGCTGCTGAGCTACATCCTTAGATGATTTTATTTTTATTCTGACACAGGGTCTCTCTAAGTTGTCCAGGCTTGTCTCAAACTTGTGACCCTCCTGCCTTAGCCTCCTGATTTGCTAAGATTACAGGCATGTATCACCACACTTGAGAAAAAGATTTTTAAAAAACTGATTGCTATGAACCAAAGGAAATAATAAACTGACAGCTAAACAAACATCATGACCCCAAAGTCAGAATATCATTTCTCAACAGTGATCATCAGTCTGAAAGCTAATCTGTCGGTGCCGGCTGCCAAGGATGCAGCACCCAATCTCCCTGCACAGGGTTAGTTATCAGGGTCTGCCAGAGGTGTGGCAGCAAAGCAGGTGGGCAATGGCCACAGGTTCCTATCAGGCCCTGGACCCTGTGTAAAGGCTGAGCGGCAGATTCAGTCATTTAAGTCTGAACTAATTAGCTGTAGGGATTCTATTCCTATTCTTTCCCATGAGCTTTTTTGCTGCTTTGCAAGCAGAAGCCAGCCCAAATCTCCCTCTCCACCAGGCGAGTGGTTCCTGGCTGGGTCAGAAGGGGCCTGTCAGGCCTCCCACGGGCGCCTTCTGGGGGGCGTTTCCAGGACAGAGCCATGCGCTGGGTGCTCTGGTCCCTCCTGAAGGGCACCAAGTTCTGAGCCTCCACTCTCAAGGCCTCCCCTAACTTGGAAATCTCATGGCAGGCCCGAGCCCCACAGGGTGGTCAGGACACTCACCTATCATCTGTGCGATGGTCTTTTCATACTCAGCCACGATCTTCCTGTAAGACAAGCAAAAGCACGTTGGACCACGGCAGCAGGATGCTCCCACACGGGGGACATTGACAGTGTGACCGTGATCAGTGGGACAAGTCTCACCTGCCAAGGTTGGGCTCCCTTGGGCAGGGCCACCCCAACTCTCAGCCACACACAGCGGTTCATTTTCCCAGTGTGTGACTACACACTGCACGCCCTCTGCAAGCCCTCAACTCCCCACTGACCACTAAGGCTACACCTTCAGCCTGCAGCCACCTGGGCCCACACCCTCAGAAGGCCTGCCTCCTGCCTCCCGCCTCCACCCCCACCCCACCCCCCACACACCAGGCTCTTCGAGGCCCAGGGGGTACTCGTTTGTTGCTTCTTTCTCAAGGTCCAGCTCCAGTGTCTCTTCCCTGGGAGACCTTCTCTGATTTCCCCTGGGAGCCCTCTAACATTTTCTCTGTATGTCAGACATCTGGCCTCCCAGAACACGAGTCCATCTCCTCCACTAGACCAGACTCTCCAAGGCCTGGAGGTGTACTTCTTGGGGAGCCCCGTAAACAGCAGCTGCACCCAAGCACTGAGAACCCTTAGTTAGCCTGCCCGCGGCTCCCCACGAGAGCACTGAGGTGTGAAACAGCACTCCCTCCAAGGAAGCCTCGGGAAAGCCAGTTTCCCTGCATTATTCAGCAATTATTTTCCCCCAAGAGCTGCTAATGGCCAAAGAGACAAGACCCTGAGGACACAGGCCACAAAGGCCCAGGAGTCAGGCGGCCCAGGCCTGGCTGACCTGCCTCTGAGTCATTCTCAGACGCAGGCTCTGCCTGCTCCCTGGTATAAGGGGACCACCCTCGTGCCACCAAGCGGGAAGTCACTCAATTCTTCCCGACTCCCACTCAGAAGCATTTCCATGCTTTCTGATTGACGGCCACCTCCTTGTATCCAGGATCACAAAGATGTGGTGGGGCTGTCTAAAGCTGTCACTGATGATGATGACATGCAGGTGGCCAGGGTCACGTCTTTTTAGACGTGTGGATGGACAGTGGGCCTGAAAGTGCTGTAGCTCACTGCACCTTCATCTTATCCTCAGTGACCCAAGAGACTGGGCTCCTACTGTTCCTAGCACTACTGATGAGGATGCTGGGACACTGCAGACTCAGAAACCTTTCCAGGATTCAAGGGTTCACCTTTACGTCCCACTGCAGCAAGGCACTGGTGGTTACCCCACTATACAGATGGAAGGGAAGGCGGAGTTAAGCAACATGCTTAGAAGCAGCTGGGAAGAGGAGCCTGCTTTCGCCTGGTGAAGCTCCAGAGGCCGACAGGCTGATGATCAGGCCATCAAATGCCAGTGCAGTTGTACCAGCTGGTGGCATGTTGAAATCCTGCCACCTCAGTGAGTGGACAGCACTGTCTAGTATGACCTCCTTGGGAGGCAGGAAATCATGGGCAGACCTTCCAGCCTTCCCAGTAAACCCCGTTCATTTCCAGAGCAGCTAAAAATCTAGAGCCACCCAACCCTCTCAAAAGAAGAAATAAATTTAAAAAATAATGCAGCTGTATGGCTTCAGTGAGCCTGTGGGAGGGCACAGGAGACCAACCACAGGAGGGCATCGGTGCAGAGAAGGCACAAGAGGAGAGTTTCAGGATGAAATTACTGGTACCTAGAAAACAGGTGCAATTCCCAAGAAGTTTGCTTGCTGCTTAAAATGGCAGCCAGGAATGCGACTGATTTCAAGCCAGCTCCCACCACTGCTACTAGGTACACGGTGGCTACTGTGTACTATTACAACACCTGGCAAATGAAAGTAAATGATCAGGAGGAACTGGAAGGGAGACCCTGGGAAAGAGAGGGTTATTACTGTACATATCTTTACTCCATTCTTTTTTAAAATTTTTAATATTTATTTATTTTTTTAGTTCTCGGCGGGCACAACATCTTTGTTTGTATGTGGTGCTGAGGATCGAACCCGGGCTGCACGCATGACAGGCGAGCACGCTACCGCTTGAGCCACATCCCCAGCCCCTTTACTCCATTCTTTAACTAAAAATACTACTTTACACTAAAAATACTCATAAAAGTATGAGCCTTGCACAATAAAGAAAAGAGGACTTCTCCAAGAGACACTACTGGGCTCCACCACTGACCTCATCTCCATCACCTCCCGTCTGCTTTCTTCATATTTCTCTTTCCACTCCGAGACCTCTCTCTCCTTGGTTAGGACCTAGAATCAGGAGGAAGAGGAGGGTTAAGTCCAAATGTGTGGATTTGGATTTGACCAAATCAAAGAGACATCAAATAAATGTGCCATTAACACTTCCTATGCCAAATCATAATTGCAGTCAGAGAACTTCCCCAAACACGAGGGAGAAGTAAGCCAGACACTACTTTCCCAGAGCCCACTGGGAAGCAAAGGAAAGGGGCGTGCTTTCTGTTACAAACAGACAAAGCCCTCCGAGCCCACGGACATGACTTCTAAGGAAGATCAAGGCCCACAGGCCGCCACGCATCTTTGCCAGCAGTGCTCCAAGGAGAAAGGCTGACTCCAAAGACACAGGCTTCCCGGGTGTGCATCTAATTTACAAGACACCACATCCTTCCCAGGGCAACCTGAGTGGCCCTTCTCCTTGCTGTGCCACTGTACCTCTGCTCTGGCCACCTGGAGCGCAGAATCCAGGTCTGGCTGCTGGAACAGAAGGCCCGCCGGTTTCTCCACCTCAGAGGTCCCGATGCGGGAATACAAGGCTGTTTTGGAGATGGAGACATCTGGTGGGTGAGCAGCTTCTCTCTGTGGAACGGTTTTTCATTTGGGGGAAAAAAAAAACACACAAAAAAAACCAACCCAGTTAACATTCATCACAGGACAAAGAAAACGCATCCATCCTCTCGGTTGCATGGTTTTGAAACAAAGAACATCAAAAGTATGAAGAATGCAAAGACTCATGAATGGGGAGACACCAGGCACCACTGATGGAGATCCATCTTTTGGCCTGTGCAGCCAGATGGAGCGCTGATAATGGCAGAAGCCCTGGCAGCCCAGAATGGGGAGTTGAGTGGGTCTGGTGCCGGCCTATCACTGCCACTTATCAGACGCCAAGCCACTTTAGGCACAGTGCATGAGACCAAGGTCATTATCCAGCAGGCTCCAGTTTCAGAATGAAATTTTGCCCATGAATGATACTGAATTCTAATCCACGTTTTCCTGGTTCTGTATAACCGCAGATTTGATCACTTTTGGAAGACTGGCCACATCTGAATTTGGGGGCATCTGTTTAGTTCCGTTTGAAAGGATGCGATTCACACATTTAAGGCTGTAGCAATCAACCATGCCAACTTCAACAAGCTGGAGTCTCTGGGTGTAAGGTTTATGTTGGAGTTAAGTCTGTTGCATCTACAGGAAAACGGGCAACTGGGTCAATGGCAATCTCAACATTTGCTGATATGATCCCCACCCCACCAGATGACACTGGCCTGAGGCTTTCTACCCTTTTCAGGGGAGGTCAGGAGCACCGGGCCATGGTTATTCTTCCCTTGGCACAGAGTGCTTGGCAACCCGCAGCACGGGTGAAATGCAGGGTTAGAAGCATCATCAATCAGCACAGCCAGGTTCGTCAGCCTACTTCTACCACCACAAGAACAGCAAGCCAGCCGCACTCTCAGTCCAATCCATTCACCTCATGGTGCTGTTATGGCTGCCAAGGGGACCTCGACCCTAGTTCTAAGTCCAGTGTGAGCCCATGGTGGTTAAGAGGGTGGAGAGGGGCTGTGTCTTCCCTAGGAAATCATGAGACAGGACTGGGCAGTGAACAGATAGAGCACCGTGGTGTAGGAGGAAGACAGATTTAGGGAAAGAAGGGCGAGGACTATAAAGGGCAGCAGGTAAGATAAAAGGGCCAGCGGTCTCAGGAAGGGGTGGACCTGCAGGCACTCGAGTAGAGTGTCTCTAATCACAGGACAGCCACACTGACCCTACCACAGCACCAGGGCAAATGACCTTGGGGAAAAAAAGAGATAGCTCAGAAAACCCGGGCGGAAGTGTAATGGATAGGACTGGAGATGAGGAGTCAGGGCAGTTAGTTGAACACATGCAGGGTGAACTCAAGAGTTTAGGTTGTCCTGGACGAGACCACCTGTCCTCTGGATCTTACTGCCTCTGCCTGGCCTTGAGCTCTTGGGCTGACCCTGAGGTGAGGGGCCGTGATCAGCTGGTCAGAGTGAGGAGCACACAGCCCTGGCCCAGCAGACCCCAGAAACTCGCTCACAGGTCAAATGGGGGGCCACGATCTTCTCAGGCTCTGATCCTCAAGATGACACCTGACCAGACACGGTGGACAGCCCTGGCAGCAGGCAGGCTGAGCGCCTGCAGGGCGGCACCTCTGCCCAGAGGGCTGCATCCCCGCTGCTGGAAACCGGCTTTTACAGTTCTGCCTGCAAGGGGAAGCTTCTCCAGGCTCAGCACTCATACTTGAAAGTTCACAAACATAAAATTCAAAAGAGGTCTTTAAAAGGAAAAAAAAAAAATGTTCCTAATGTTTTTAACAATTTTTTTTTTTGGTGGGGGGGAGACGCTAGGATTCAAACCCAGGGCTCTGTGTGTACCGGGCAAGTGCCCTCCCACGGAGCTACACCCCAGCCCTCCAATCACTTTTAAATGTGTTCTTTTAAAAAATTAGAACAAAAAAATTTCAAAATGAAAAGAACATTAGAACCGCCACACTCATCCTGGTCCTTCTGAGGATGAAGTAAAATGAGGATTGGAGAGATTTGGTTTAAAAATTTCCCAAAATGACACTCAGCTCTAACCCTCAAATAAACCAGCTCCTCGAAAGGCAGGAGAAAATGAACACAGTGAAAATTAAGTTTATTACACTGAGCAGGAGCTAAATAGGACCAAGGAAGGGATTGATGACCCTAAGCTGCCCAAAGTCCTCTGTGAAACAAAGAGGGGAATGAAAAATACATAACAACACTGAAGACATAATGACCACAGAGTGAGTCCCTGTCACCTTTTTGATGGCACCTGGTCCTCTCAATAAAGGAATAGAGGACTTCAGGACGCGTGTGAATTACTGCCCTGCATCAGCACCTGTCTGTATAGTGAAACTCATCTTCCACACCCTGGCTTCTCCTTACAACTAAGAATTGTTTTCAACTGAAATTCAAAGGTCTGTCTCTCACTGATATTTTAAGATCGGATATTTTTAGATGAAGTTTTGCTTCTCTCACATAATTTCCCACCTGCTACTTTAGAGGGACTAAAGCCACTAGAAATCACAAATTGAGACGTGAAGGGCCAGGACTCAGAAGGCACCAGTCCTTGCAACCAACCTCAGCCATCAATCCACTCCTCAAGTCCGGGGTCCTGTGTGACCCCCCAGGCCACTGTCTCCTGCTACAGACCTACAGGCCTCTTGCCAGGGTCCTTCTGGTCTTGAAGCCAGGGAATAGGGTCCTGCCACTTACCCAGGCTCACGGTCCTCCCTGAGGCCAGTTCCCTGTTGTCAGGCCTCAGGGCTTGGACTGTGGCAGGATCCCTGTCCCCAGAACACTTGGAGGCTGATTGTGGGAGGACAGACAGAAAGCTCAGAGAGCTGTGGTGAGGAGGGCCTGCAGGGGTGAGGACCAGGGGTCAAGGACCTGCAGAGCTAAGGCCATGCAGTGTGGACCCCGCCTGAGTGTTCAGGAGTGTCTGGTCCTATCCAGGCAGGAGAGTGGCCTCAGCTGGGAGCTGTCCCATCCAATACTGATGGCAGACAGTTCCTAAGCCCTGGAGTGGCAAACAGGGCGGACATCATCCCACACCATTGTCCCACTCCACAGACGGCACCATCAGGCACCAGGTGGCCACGCCGGCCACCAAGCCAAGACTCGCCTTCCATCCTTACTGCACCAGGTAGAGGCAGCACCTGCAAGTTCTCTGCTAGCTCCTCCTCAGACTGTTCTCAAGGCTCGGGACACAACTCCCTCCTCAGCCCCCTGCCAAATGGTGGTGGGAGGGGAGGTGTGTGTGCCTCAGAGCAAACAGGCTGCCCACCAGCAATACGGCTGCCCCAGCCCAACTCCTGCTCAGCTCATGGAAAATCCAGGCACCTGTTGGCCTAAGCCATGACTCTGGGAGACGTCAGACACGGCGTGACATCAACAGGCCAATTCCCCTCCCCGTGGGAGCCACTGCTGGCACCTGCTCGCCATTCACGTGACCTTGTTCCTGTGCTACCAGAAGCATCCTTCAGTTTTTATCATGGGTCCCCCTCACTGAAAAAGCCCAGTAGCTCCAGAAATCACAACCAGAATGTCACACAAATGAATTAAATCAATGTGCCCCTGCCTGGCACCCCTTGGAAAGCCACAAAGACAGGACGTGGCAGGTCCCCTCAATCTGTATCCGTTCCCCTCAATGTAGCTCAGTGTTAAGCTTGGAGTTGCTGCATGGCGGATCCAGCCACCTTGGTCAGCTTCAGGGGACAAACTCGATTCGGTCACCAGAAGTGCTGGGAGGAGTCTGATACCGAGGCTGCAGCCTGACACCCCGGCTCCCGTGGACTTTTCCTCATCTGTAACGTTTTCTAACCAGAGAGCATCCCTCGCTGTAGTTCAGAGGGGCAACTCAGCTCTGTCAGTCTAAGAGAAACGTCCCTTGAAGCTGCTCTGAGGAACAACCAGAGCCCTTCCCATTCTTTCCTCTCAACAAGACAGCCTTATTCCACAAGAACTCATCTTTGTGTTGATAGCAGCTCAAGACCATGCTGTAAAACCTCAGGGCCATGTTGCCTGCAGCTGAAGCACAAGGGCAGAAAGAAGAGCTTTTTTGTCTGTCTGCCAGCAGGTTCCAACGCAGAGGACAGCAAGGGGCCATCAAGCTTCTACATGACAAACAGGAGCCTGCAGGGTGTACCTCCTGGAGTCACTGTTTCTACAGGCCACAGTCCCCAGAGGACTGTCCTGACCAAGAGCAATACAAGTTACCCCTGTAGAGAGAAGTGCTCCTTACAGGTAAGACAGTTCCCCTGATAGAATATTCCTTTTAGCACAGGCTTTTGAAACACCTAAGGAGGTGGCTTGGGCGCCTCTCTGGCCCACACTCAGTGGATCTAGGAAACACTATTAAATCAAAATGGAGACACATGTCTGAGAACCGGCTGTAACTGACAGGAAGCTGACCGCTACTTGCCTATTGCCGAGGACTGCCTTCTGCCTGACCAGGAGGAGGGGACCCCACCAGACTCCATGCAGACCTGAACTACTTAGAGGAGCATGCTTGGCTAGGCACCAAACGTCCCCCGAGAGGAATCCACCAGTTAAGCCATTCCTACAGGACACCAAGAAACCAACGCAGTGAAGGAAGAAATCCCTCATTGCTGACAGCTTTCTAAAACTCCGACTTTCATGGACATTCCACCTAAGTTTTTGATTTGGCAACAAGAACAACCACTGATCTCTTTTTACATTCTTGTCTCTGCCCTATGTCCACTGTTCTCAGTCTGGACGCCCACTGTGGGACCACCTCCTGTCTCTGGAAGGGGTTTTCCTCTTGGCTGCAGCCAGAGAGACCCAGGTGGGGTCTGCTGAAATTCCCGTATCACCATGTGACTCAGTTTCCTACTTGTAAAACAAGACCTGGACCTGCTTCCTGAGGAGACGCTGGGAATATCTGATCAGGTAAGAGGCAAAAGTGGGGTGCTGGCCAAAACAGCATCTTCCTTTTCTTGCACACCTACTATGTGCCAGGCAGGGGCTGCTCCCCATACACCATCTGGAGCCCTCACTGCACCAACAAACCTGCCGTGATGAGCCTCGATGCACAGGTGGAAAAACGAGGCCCAGAGAGGTTCACTAACTCATTCAAAGCCACAGAATACAAGTGGGGTCCAGCTCCAGTGTCACACACCATGTCCACCAGGCTGCCCAACTTTGGGTAGTAAAAAGGGGTGGGACGAGGCCAATGCTGAGAGACCACAGCTCGACAGCAACCTGGGGCGACACACTGCCTGTCTGTCATCAGCATTGACTTCTAACCATCAAGAAAACTCACCCCAAGCCTGGAAGCCAGTCTGAAAGATTTCCACATGCCCTGTCGTGGTCACACTCAAAATTAAAATTAAAACAAACAAACAAATAGGTACAGTTCCTTGGCCATCTCTGCACAGGCACTGTCAGGCAGAGGCCGTGTGCGGGCCCTGCAAATCTGCACTATTTCTGCAAGCCCTTTACCAAAAGGACTGCCGCTAACCCCGCGTCAGCACATGGTCCAGCGCCTCCGCACAGGTTTTGCTTTCACTTCCTATGTACTGCTTTTCTCAGTAAGTTTGATGTGAACTTGTAGGAAACAAAACCGTTGCAAATGATTTTTGTTCCATAGAGAAGCATACATTATCTGTAGGGAAAAAAAATGACAATCTCAAAGGTAATGATTTTTTCATCCAAACCAGGATTCTCTGGTTTGATATCAACTCTGCCACTCTTCCAGCCTTCTTCATGCCCCTCCCCTCCCCCCTGCACACACACACACAAACACACACACACATACACACACCACATACTGGCTTCTCTGAGTCTCCCCACCTAGCCAGCACCATCTGCTGGCGAACGCATTCTTGAGTTAAGCAGATCTTAGACATGTGCTCAGGGTGTTTATGCAAGAGTTACACTTTTAGCTTTTTGGAAATCACACTTGGCCAGGCACCCACAATGCCTGCCTGACCGACGGTTAGCAAAGCAGGCGCTGGCCCACGGTGACACACACAGCATTCTCAGAGGGCAGCGCACTGCAGCCGCAAACCAGTACCTTGGTGTCCTGGCGGCTGCGGGAAGCCAAGGCAATCTGCCTGGCCAGCTTCAGGGCTTCTATCCGCATGATGGCAAACTCTAACTCCTCCTGCCCAAGGGGTAGGGTATGAGCAGACCGCAGGGGAAACGTATCAAGACAGATGTAATGTTTTCCGCACCCAAGAAATGAATGTGCCATGTAAATGCGTCATGACAGGTACTCGGGAAAGACACACGCTTGGCTTTCTCACAATAAGCACCTCAGCAGATCATGAAACCATGTTTAATTTCCTTTTTTAAAAATATTGTCCTTTTAAGTCTCTACAGAGAACCTATGCAAACATGAAACGGATCCAAATTTTTACTGTACTATATACAGTCTTTGATTTTTTTTTCCTTTTTAAAGTGAAGTTGGCCAACACTTTCCATGAATGAATGTGCATCTGTCAAATGACTGTGAGCCGTCTCTCTAGATTTCCTTTCAAAGTTCTAGTCTAGGGGATATCAAATTAAGCTGTCAAATGTAAAAGTGCAGAGTAGATAATTGTTTTGGTTCCAGATGCAAGACTGAGTCCAGATGTTATCTCAACAGGATTCTGAGATCGCCTAGTCCACATAAACAACCAGGCTTGATGGTGACCTCATACCTTTGGTTTGGTGAATGAATCACAGACACTGCTGTTGGGGTTATCAATACATCTGAAAAATGACTGTTTCGGTCCATTTTCCAAACTGAAATGGAAATGGTTCCTTCAATATGTAATTGAATAATTTGTATAATTTTGGCATACTGGATAAAGCACACCACATATCAGTGCCTGAGGGGAAGATGTTTCATCTGGAACATTCTCAGCAACTCCTCAGTATATCCGGCCTCAGTTCATCTGGGGCTCGGGGGTTCATTCTCTACTGAGGTTTTGACAAACTTCCAAAAGGTCACACATTGGCTACAAACCTGAAGTTTCTGAGCAAATACTGGGGGGTTCTTTTCTGCTAAGTCGGGTTCCAGATAGTCAAGTGCACCACAGAGAGAGGCGGGGTGGGCCAGCCTGCTGAGAAGGGCGTCAGCAGAGGCAAAGGCAGCCTCAGGAGCTGTCTGAGCGGCGGAGAGGACGAGAAGGAAAAAGGAGGAGAGCAGAGAGTGACACTGATGGACCACACATCTGTCTGCATGACATTTCTGCCTTCAGGCTAAAGGGAGCATCCAGGAGCTGCCAATCCTCACCCACATGCTGACAGTGGACACCTTGACACTGGCAGGCCCACCCCACTCCCCAAAAGCACAGCCTCCTGTACTCTCCCCACCCTTACTCCCTGGCCAGAGGCTGAAGCCAAGTTACCATTTGCTTCTGTGCTTGGAAATCTCGGTGGTGGGAGGCAGAAGCAAGGTGATGGGTTTTCAAAACCTGACCTCACTCAACAAGGAAAGAGCTCCAAGCATAAACACCAGAGAAAGTAAGGTTTTGGTAAAGGCGATTTTCTAAACAATGGAAAGATGATTTCAAAAGGAAAAAAAGTGTCTCCCGGTAGATCAAAAAGCCTTCAAAATCAGAAGCCAACTTTGCAGAAAGTGAATGGTGGACGAGTCCTCCACAGCATTGATCTGAGAGACCGATTAACATCCAGATCTCGTTTTGCCCATTAGTATGTTTCCAATATTCCACCCAGCCTCCAACTGGCACATACACGCATGGTAAGTGCTCAATAAATGTTTGCTATGTGAGATAAATGAAGTCTCCTAAGGCAGACCAAAAATAACACACTACATCAGTGGCTTCAAAAACATTGGGGATTGCTAGGAAGGAAGTAAAGAAAATTTGCCTAGGGGAATGGTCCATGAAGATGCGTGGAGACCATCACACATGCATCACATACTCTAGGGAACCCCAGGGCCCCATGTGCATGTGACATCAGGGAATGGGCTGGGGGAGGGGAAGAGAAATTCCCATCAGCGGGACCCAGGAAAACCACCTGAGCTCCAAAAGGAGGGTGTCCCCTGCTCTGCCACTCTCGGATCTGCCATCAAGCTGCAGAGGCAGAGTACTGGCCAGTGGTGGCCCCAAAGCATAGTCCAGTCCCAAGGGGAGAAAAACGGAAAAAAATAACCCTGGGGCAGATAAAGCACCCAGGTGAGAACTGCGAAGCCATGTAGGAGAGGAGTCCTTCCCTCGGTGTGATGCTGTGGGGTCTCCCAGGCTGGCTTCTGTGGTCTGGGGGTCAGGGTGGGGCCACAGTAGGTGCCAGCTGAGCTTGATGGCACCCAGCAGGCCCTGGCCTGGTCCCCTGAGATCTCACTCTGGGGCCCCTGCCTGTACTTACGATTTCAATCGCCTCTGAGGAAGTGCCCAGGGCCATGGCCTCCAGTTCTGGCTGGGAGGACTTCTCTGGCACCTGTAAGTGTGGCTCTTGGCTGGAGGCTAGCCCTCGTGAGACAGGACGCTGGATTTTTGCTGCAGCATTAACAAGGGCTTCTGTCTCTTCAAAACTTGACCTGTGGAAGCAAACGTCATCTTTAGAGTCTTCTCCTTGGAAATCCCACTGAAATCAGCCAGGATGCCCTGAACCAGGCAACATCCCAAGCCATCTTGGAGCTCCAGAGCTGTGTCTCCAGTAGTACCTGGGACAGAGCCAGATGCCACTGGGGACACAAGGTCTAGGATCAAGTAGATGGCCTGCTGCTTGGCTGTGTACTCTGGGGGAGGTGAAGACACCATATCCCGGCTTCCTTTCCTATAAGCAGAGACAAGTACCTATGTGAGGATGAGATGAGGTACCGTGTGGACCTCCCATGTGGTGCGACCTCTGCTGTATACCATCACCATCTCACCTCCCGGGCAGATTCTGGTCCGTAAGTTTGAGAAATCAAAGAAGAGCAGGCAGACAAATGTGGGACCATCTGAATCTTAAAGCACTCCCACACCTCCCCCATCAAACATGACGCTGTTCAGGACACGAGCCACATCCATGTCGATAACATATGTGTATCCAGCACGTTACGGGGGCCAGACAGCCTGGCAAGAGCTTTCCACACAGCACTGATGGGAATCCAGTGACCCCGTGCCCCTCGCACAGCTTAGGGAGGTGCTGGAGCCTCTCAAGTCTTCCTCTATCCCTGCGTGGTCAGTCTATTACATCACACTCAAGGAAACCGAGGCACACGTGGGATAAGTGAGTCACATCAGGGACTGAGTGCCTTCCACCATTGATTGGATAAATGACAAAGTTGCGTGTGGATTGTGGGGACGGTGGGGGTTCATGCTGTCAGCTGTTGAAGGGTTTCACCTTAGTTCAAAGGGCCCCAGCAACAAGAGCAATGCATCTGTCTGTGCGAACACAGCCTGGAACGTGGGCTGCCTGTGACATCAGGGCCACGGCATGCGGGTGCTTGGGGCTTCAGGCCTGTTGGTAACTGTCACAGTGGAAGTCGTACCCTGAACAAGGCGTCGGGGACTCGGACATCCGGGTCGGAGACTTAACGGGGCTCTCCTGAGACGTGTCGAACATAAGGTACAAGGATTGCTTCTTCGGGGTGTCATCGTCCTGCTGCAGGGATCAAAGTCACACATTAGCTTGGGAAGATGAAAAACCAGAGCGCTCCTCAAGGCAGAGCAAATAACTCAGGGGAGCTCTGACTCACTGGGCCAGGAAGGGAAGGGGAGGAAGAGGGGGGTGCGGGACCCGCGCAAGTGGGAATGTGTGCGAAGGAAGGAAGATCTGGATGGTCCTGCTGGGCCACACTGTGTTCAACTCATTTACTGGCCACCCTCATGCTGACCCCTGAGAATGAACAGAGGGGTAAGGCAAGATCACAGCTGAATGCAGGACACCAGCAATATGACCCAGCGTGATGAGCCCTGCCACTAAGGCACCGGAAAGAGACAGAGCAATGGGTTCAACCTGAAAAGAGGGGGCTCCTCTCGGGGGCAGGGGTGGACAGGGCATGAACAGAGAGCGTGGCGCAGGCTGAGAGACCAGGCACATTCAGGGCCTGTGGAGGGGTTCGGCTGGACTCTTCATGGGGGCGTACAGTGTGGAGCTAAGGGGGAGGAAATGAGAGGCTGGGGGCCATTATCAGACCCCCCAGGCTTTGAATGCCATGTCTAGGAATGGGGACTTGCATCTTTTTGGGATGGGGAGACCTTACATCCTCCCTGCTGGGGTCCCCAAAGAAGCGCAAACAAGGACCAGTGGGCGTGCGCCATCACATCACAGAAACCTCTGGTGGCTCTGATTCCTGGCAGAGCACACGTCTCGTGAACTTCATCCTCGAAGCCTGCCAATGCCCGAGTCAGCAGGCGGTGCACAAGAAGGGACTCTGTGGTTTAGTCCCATTAAATCAATGACATCAAAACACGGGACTGTTCCACTTCAGTGGCCAAGTGTCGTATTATGCATGTGGTGTCAACTATCAGGGACACAGCTGTGGTCTCAGGGGGAAGCGGCCACTCTCTGAGCAATGCATCAAGAGATCACAACAAAGCCCATGATGCGCCATCCTCAGGGAGCCGTGACTTCCCTCTGTGTCCTGACGTTTCCTGCCTGACCTTCTGGTCCGCTGCAGTTTAGAAGCAGTAACCCCAGCATCTGTGAAGGACTCATGGGAAGAACAGATAAGAGCAACCGTCCAGGGCCATTCAGGGCTGTAGCGAGCCCTCCCGCACACGCTGGGGCTCTGAGGACATGGCTGGCCAACAGCAAGGAAAGAGGCCACGGGTAGAACCAACACTTAAGCCGGGAAGACAGCGGCCGACCACAACCAGTCAAAGTGAAAAGGGGGAGGGGGCCTTATAGCCTCTTAAAATAAAAAGGGGGGTTACTTACCATTGTCCCTCAATATCCACTGGGGATTTGTTCAAGAGCCCCTTGGATACCCAAGTCTTTTATATAAAATGGCATGGTATTTGCATGTAGCCACCACATATTCCCATATATTTTAAATCAGCCCTAGATTACTTATAAAAGAAATTATTATACTGTATTATTTAAGGACTAATGACAAGAAAATGAGTCTATATTTGTTCAAAACAGTTGCATTTGGGTGTTTTTGTTTTTGATGGTGCTGGGGGTGAACCAAGGGCCTCATGCATGCCAGGCAAGTGCTCTACCACTGAGCTACATCCCCAGCCTACTGTTTTTAAAGAGCATTTTTGATCTACAGCTGATATGACCCATGGATAGGGAGGGAGGGCCAACTGTAATTTGTAGAAAACCGCTTAGGGCACTTTGCCCACCTTCACCAGCAGCGTGCCCCCAGAATGCTGAGACACAGGGGGCCCCACTTGGGTTCTGAGCTCCAGAGACACTCTGCCCAGGAGAGGTCTCGGCCTGCATGTCCCCAACAAAGGGCAGTGAGGAAGAACTTACGGGTAAGGAGGAGCCAAGTTTTTCCATATATTCGATTTCATAGGAGTTTCTGTAACCCAACTCTGCAAAAGAAACACAAAGTGGATCAGTGCTTCAGACATGACTGGAAAGAACTAGGCCAGCCAGGGTGGGGCATGGAACAAGACCCTGCCTGATTTTGGCAATGCCCAATGACCAGAGACTACTGATACAGCCAACAGGGAGGCGCAGCTCAGCTGCTGGCAGAAATCAGTGTTCTTCTTGCTGGCAGGGATTTTCTCCATTAGGGAATCTGAGGGAACCCCCAAGGAACTGAAATGGTGTGACCAGGCACAGGTTTTTAGCTTTGGGCAGATCTGAACACTGTGCCCTGAGTTTTTAGATGAGAGAGCATGTGCATTTGGGGTGATGGTTTTCTCTGTAACTCTCACATGCAGCACAGGTAACGACATGTCCTAATGACGTCTTGGAACTAAACCTGTACCTGTCCTCTGTGGACCCAACCCCAGCTCCACTCTAGAGCAAGGGAAGGACAGATATCATTGTTCCTCCAGTGTTGCCTACAAGGGAAATTTCCCAAGTCGGTGGAGTGTTTCCCAAGTTCTACAGTGTCTACAGGGCAGGTCCAAACCAGATTTTCAAATACAAAGACTACTGAAGCCCAATTAGGCGGAGAAGTGACTTATTTCAACTGGTGGCTTTTGAGCTGCAAATAAAATTGCAGACAATTACTGGAGACTAGAAACCCCACAGCCTGCCTAAGGTACCTAGGAGGGTCCTCGTGGAAACTCAGTCCTGCTGCTTAACTAAACGCCCTGCCCAGCACTACTGTGTGCCCTGCACTGCCTGGGGCACGGCAGGTATGACAGTGGATGACCTAAAAGGGACCCTGTTCTTGCAGAAACCACAACCTGGAGCTACCTATCGGGTGTCTCTTTACTTGAAAAGAAAACCACAATGTGACATGGACCTCACTATATTAAGCACCAGTGGCAATCCATAAAGCTTAAGGCCTGTTGTAGCTGGATCTAGAATGTCCCCCAAAGGCTGACAGGTTGAAGGCTTGGTTCCCACTGCAGAGGTACCAAGAGACTGGGCTTTAGGGAAATAATTGGATTAGGAGGGCTCAGACTCCAACAGGGGATTAATCCACTTGATGGGTTAATGATTTCAATGGACTATTGGGTGGTAGCTATTGGCAGGTGGAGTGTTCTTAGAGGAAGTAGGTCACTAGGGTGGACTACATCCGTCCAAGGCCTCTTCCTCCTTCTTTCTTTCTCTGCTTCCTGGCTGCCATGGACTTTCTTCCTCCTAGTGCTAAGCCTTAACTCAAGCCTGGAGCAATGAGCCAACTGACTGTGGACTCACACCTCCGACACCATGAGCCAAAAGAAACTTCTCCTCCTTTAAGTTGCCTGTACTAGGTATGTTGGCCAGTGACTGCTGGCCACAGTTGACTAACACAGGTCTCATTTTTTAAGATAAAAGTAAATATATGTAGCAGTTCTGGTGTAAAGCTCCTTTACCTCTGCATATGGCTAAAGGCGTCACTGAAACAGTGATTCTTTAATATGTGCTTTAAGATGGGATTATCCTTGGGGATGGGGTTGTGGCTCAGTGGTCGCCTAGCTAGTGCGAGGCCCTGGGTTCGATCCTCAGCACCACATAAAAATAAATAAAATAAAGGTATTGTGTCCAACTACAACTAAAAAATAAAAATAAAAAATTTTAAAAAGATAGGATTATCCTGGAGACTTTCTTAAAACCTACAGCCCTTTGTGGTTTTAGCTGAATGAACTCAAGAACCTCAGCCTGTGGACAGAATCTCCATCTCCTGGTGGAGATAACATCATTCTGGTGGACACACCTGCTTGTGGGCTTGAAGCCAGATTTAAAGATAGGAAATTAGTGTAGTTAGGTCTAATATCGAGTAAAATCGAGAATGAAGCCCCAGAAAGCAGAACAGCACTTGGGGAAATTGCAATGTTAATGTTCCCAAGGCCCAGAGCCCTTTCTAAAGAAATGTTAATGAAGCAGCTTCCAGCAAACAGGGAGATGCTAATCAGAAGCAACCCCAAAACCCCAAACCCGCTCCAGGCACTTCCTGTCCAGATTACTCCTTCAGCCCACCTGTTTCCCACCTTTTGGGCCTTCCCACCTACATTCCAACACTGCAAGATGGGAAAGCTGAAAGAAGACCTTAGCTATAAAAAAGGGAAGACCTCGCCCTTCCACGGATTCCACCTTTTGGGTCCCCTTCTTCCTTAGGGAGAAGTCCTTTCTGCTGTCCTTTAATAAAGCTTCTACTTTCCACTCTACACTTGCCTGGGCGAGCTTCTCTGGTATAAACAGCGGTAACAATAGCAAGGGCCCTGCATCATGTCACGGAGCACCCGTGGTGCTCTCAACAAGCAAGGGACACCATGAGCCTGTGGCCTCTAACAAGTGACCACACCAGCTCTCCTCAGGGCATCCCACCTGGACACTATGCTCACTCCCTGGCCTCCGAGTCTGGCTGCATTTTGGGTCACCAAGCTCACTTACCTGCCTCCCCTCTACCTGCCAAGAGGGTTCCCCTTCCCACGGCCAGCGTCCCCATTCACCTCTTTAGAGGCAGCATGTGACAGTACGGGTTGATGTATTTTGAGGAAACATCTTAATGAAATTGGCTATAGAAACCTCACTCATCTGCTTTACCTCACAGGGTAGGCATGGGGGTGAGGCCCTGTCCAATTGCAGCCCCCTTTCGGCACCAGGCCACATGCAGGTGACAGGCCAGGAGGGGTTACACCAATGGCCCCAAGTGTGCATCCTCTCAGCAGCTCCAGGCTAAGCCCAGTCGCTGAAGCATGGGGCTGCCTCACGCTGCAGAGGCCCAAAGTGTTCTGAAGGGCCTCTCCTGTCCAAGGGCTGCTTCTGGTAATCACTGTATACTGGGACATGGCACACAGACAGGACTTGACTGCTCTTTTTTTCTGACTCCAATTGCCAGAGCTTTGCTAGAAGACTGGGAAGAGCCCTGGGCAGCAGACAGAAGGAGCTTTGCTCCCAGGACTGAGGAAGTCAGTTCACCTAATTGCTCCATGCCTATCGACTTGACCCTCAAATGGAGCTCAAAGTGCCACGTTGTGCTGGCTAAGATGAAATGTGTGAGACAAAAGCCCTGCAACAGGTAACACGGGTGTAAGGGATCGTGATCTGATGCATTATTACTGCTCACTGCCAGAATTCTGCAACTTTTAACACAAATGATATTGTGTTCAGGGGAAAAGAAGAGAGCCCTTGGGAGAGGGAGGAGGCAGCTGCTCCCAATTTCCTCATCATTTCTCTTCTAAACATCAATCAGTAGGAGAGACTGAAGGATTAAAATCAGATTAGAGCCAGGCACAGTGACGCACACCTGTAACACCCACAGCTCAGGTGGTTAAGAAGGACGCCTTCCCTCTACTGGATGTGGGAAGGAGGGGCTGATGCAGCCGTGTCAAGGGGACAAGGAAACTGGGTGACCACCAAAGGGCCACCTGGACTTGTGAATGTACTCTACTGTCCTAGACTAAAAGCAGGTGAGCTTGTTCTCCCTGGGGACCACATGGATTAGGTGTGCTCCCATGGCAGCAAGCTTGAAAAGACTGTGCAAGCAAGGCAGTCATTGAGGGCGAACATTTGTAACTGTCAATCCAAGTCATTAATCAGCGGGAGATTATCAGAGTCGCCACAGTGAGGTGATGTTTTGCAGCTCCCTCGTGGCACTGCAAGCGCCCGGGCATTGTTCTAAACTAGTATCCACGGAGACACCTGAAGCTTTTCACCACTGCTCTTGTCACCCGGTAGGAAGCACAGTTAGTCCACACCCTCCTTCTGCAGGGAAGGCAGGAAGTATGGTCCATGCCACAGCAGCAGCAGCACCGCTGGGAAGTCGGGCAGACCCTGTTCTCCCTGCATCAGCCGAGACACCAGGCAAGTGCCTTAACAGTTCTTAAAGTGGGGAACTGTAGAAATTCCCCATGGAGTGGGGAGGAGGAAATGAAATCGCACATGCAAAAGACACAGCACAGTACACGCTGAGCCAGTGATGGTCTCCCCTATGGAACTGGTACAGAATTACACTAAGACCAAAGTCTTAGGATTTGAATATTTGTTCAAATAGTAATTATTACTTCTAACCCAACATTTCATTTTCCAGTGGTTGGCACCTTCTGTTTAAGAAAGTCTCAGATCACAGCTGCAGCCCTGCATTGCTCTACTCTGAAACACATCTGCAGTGCCAGGTTATGAGTCTGGCACTGCTGAACTTGACCTTATTAAAGTGCCAGGAGGGCTGATCCTGTAAGAGGGCTCTGCATCTACTTTCCACAGCCAGATGCAGAGGGAGCCACGGTGTATTACACAGGAGGACGCAGGGCCAGCACCTCCTGAAACTGCCCCTTTAAGTTCTCATGTTGGCAATGGTCTTTCAATCACCCACCAGCTAAAATCACAGGTGTGACCTGCCAAGTCCTTTTAATTGTTTTCTAAGGAGACATGTTGGGCAGAGTTTTGTTTTGAATTTACATATTTATCTACTTGCTGAATTTTTGCACAAAGAATCGTCAAGTCACTGAGCTAGTGAGTTGTGTGTTCACCATGTCAGATGAACAAGCAGATGTTACCACTGAATGAGCCACCTCCTAACTTTAGAAGCATTATTAGGATTTTTACATTTTCTAAGAAAAAAAGTGCATGTATTTGGTTTCTGATGGTAAAACCGAACATACCAGAGATCACAGGCTGTTTATTCTTATCCACAATGCCAAGCCCAGGGTGGTTTCTAAATGTGGTTTTTTTTCCTCCCCAGAATTTAGAAGTTTCTTGTCCAGCTTAAGAGCCATGAGCCAGCAGGAAACCACAGGTGCTCTCACAATGGCAGGTCCAATGCTCATGCCCAAATGTCCCTGCAGGTCCTGGGACACAAACCTCGCCCCTGGGGTCCCCTACACTCATGCTGGCAATGCCCACTGCAAAGATCAAATCAACAGCTAACACCAGGCTGTCCACCTGCCGAGCCCCGTATTTCCTTTATCTCTAACCCACCTTTGGCCCCTTTAGTTCAGGGTGCTATGGGGACAAGGAGAAACCCCAGTCAGAGTTCCTGCCTTCAGGAAACAGAGACAAGTGGAGAAGAGAGAAACCCACATGCATCTTCCCTTTGGGTAAGTGCCCCAGGGACCAAGCATTAAAGGCAAGTGGAGTAGGGAGGGGACATCCGGGGAAAGGCTGAGACAGGCAGGGGTGGGAAGTAGGGAAGGGGTGGCAGCCACAGCAGGCGCCACTGCGTGAGGGCATCCCAGGGAGGTGATCGCATTCAGGTGAGGCTCGTGGCTCAGGAGTGGATGCAGAGCACTACCAAGCTACAAGGAGGCTGAGGCCAGGCCCCAGGGCCTGTGGTGTCATGTCTGAACAGAGGGTCACTTAGAAGCTTCCTGCACCCCAAGCCGAGGGCCAACGCAACGGCTAACCAAAAGGCTCTACTTGGCAGAAAATAAGGCCAGAAAGTCCAAATACATATAATTTGGATCATCTTTCCACTGTCAAACAGAGAAAGGCAGCTCTGTGGGGTGAGAGGATGAGCACCCTCAATTCCATTACAAACTAGACCTCAGCACAAACACACGCTGGTAGCGTCTGGAGACCTCACAGGCACCAAGCAACCCACAGAGAGCGGTCAGACCACAGAGAAGCCTCCAGAGAAGCATCCCGAGTTACAGTGAGAACCCCCTGCTCCTCCGTCACTGCCCCACCCAGATGGGCAAGGAGGAGGCTGTTTAATGGAGCTCTCGGTTCCTTAACAGCAGCAAAGAAATGGAGTCGGGCTTTCCTGTATGATCCTCTTTGTAGTAACGCACTGGGCTTAAAAGTTACCAGAAATCAAGATCTTGGAAAATAAAACTCAAAACCATCACAAAAGCCAGAACTGAAATGCTGACCATGACTAGGTTTGCCAGCCTCACAGAGGAGGTCACAGGAGGAAAGGGATGTGAGGTCTGGGGACACTGAGGACGTTGGCCAGGGAAAGTGGACTCCTCCTTCCTGAGAAGGGCTCTCTCACTGGCTGTCCTAAGAAAGAAAGTACGGAAGTCAACCTGTGCGGTCTGCACCCAGCCCGCCTGGGCTTACTTAAGATATGTGAATTTTCAAGTCAAAGAATTAGACAAACTGCACACACAGGATGATACTGAGATAAGAGCCTGGGGACACTTCATAGGAGCCAAGCACTCATGAGCAAGGCTGGGGTGAACCTGTGGCTTGGGGCTTGATTAAAAAGTGTGGCCACACTGTCTGACCATCCTGTAGGTATGAACAATAATGGCACCAAGAGACCCCAAAGTGGGTTGACCAACACTGAAGGTTTGCTGTGACTAATGCTTTTCAAAATCACAGAAGGGACATAAGTCACAAAGCCAAGAAAGCAAGCTCGGTAGGCTCTCAGGACTTGGATTAAGAGGCAGCAGGCTGGTTCTCAGCAGGCACTGTGGGGTCAGGGGACAGCTGGTATCAAGTTTTAAAACACAGCCTTAGCTTTGAGTGCATAGGAGCCTGCAGGCGGTCACAACGGTAGTAGTAACGGTTACCTGGTTGAGAAGTGACTTTCCTGGCCCTTTGCTCCCTAGAGGCAGTATTCTCCAAGGCAGGGTGGGGGTCCGGCTGGCCACTGAGTTGCTTACCCTCTGTGGGCGAATTGAATTTGGTCTCGTTTACAAAGGTAGACAGGTCCGAGGGTTGTGGGAAGTCCTGTTTGTCAGCCTCCAAGTCCACCGTCATGCATGTCCACTTCTGATTGGTGACCGCCAGCTTCTCCTCATCTGTTGCGTGGACCACTGCGGAGATCACTGGTGGTGTCTCTGGTGTCGCAGCTGGAGTAGGGTCCTGCAAGGAAAAGCGAAGCAGTCTCTTCTCTCATTCATTGTCTTGGTCTATAACTGTGCCTGTCCTCGAGTATGGGGCCCCATTACCCAGAACAGGTCCTGGTCAAGTCCCTCCCCCTGCTCCCCCACTGTCTGCTCGGTCTCTGCTCCAAATGACCCCTCAGGGAAACGCATTCTTTCTTCTATAAGTCTCCCTCTCTGATGTTTACTTCAAGGAATGACTGTGGATTTAAAAACACACACACAGGATGCCGTGTCCTGGTTATCTGAGCCACTCTGCGGGTTTTATTCCTACAATGATGTGTTAGCTCCTAGGGGGCTTTAGGCTGCCACAGCAACATCGTCAGTATCTCCCAACAATCCTCAATCCTGGGAGGACAGAAAGGGGGTCATACTGCCATTCTGCAAAAGAGGGTGAGCCGAGCGGTGAGGGAATCCAGAAGTGAGAGCTAAGCTGTTGCAACAGGACCCCAGGCCCAAGCCAGGTTTCTGGTCCCTCCTGCAGCCCCACTCCTCACCAGGACTGGGCTTTTGCTCATCAGGATGTGGAAGGTCAGGAGGTTTGCTTTTTGGGGACTGGGAATGGCAAGGCAAACCTCCCTTGGTCTCTGGTAGGGGGATACTAAGGAAGAAGGGGCTGAGGAAGGAGCCAGCCCCCACATCTGTAGGGCTCCTTCCCCCGCTGCCTTTGGGGGCTTAGCTCAGTGCGCCTGACAGACATCTCAGTGTCTCCTTTTCTTACTCTGCATTCCTTGACCTCAAAGACCTTCCCGGCTTGAGAGGTGCATTAGTTCTCAGCAGGTTAACTGGGCAGAAGGGACCAAAATGGTTCCGCCTACAGAATCCAACTATCGCTTTTCCTGAACTTCTTCCTAGTCTTGGGACACGCTCTGATCTTTGCCAAAATGACAAGATCAAAACCGACACCAAGGGACGGGACGGACCCTCCATGTAGGAGGCATGAGGGTCTTGGAAACCCACAAAGAACAGAAAGGAAAGCTCTGTTGATCAGGGCCATAAAAACACAGCCCCTCACCTCAGCCCCCAGTGAGCAATCGAGTCATGGGGACCAAAGGAGCATCGTACCTGAGAGGGTGGATCAGAGAGAGGACATCGTTTTGGCGACTTTTTCACCCTAAATGTGTCACTGGAAACAGAATGGACAATGTCAACAAACAAACAGAGCTACAGAGCGTCCCAAGCAACTCTGAGCAGGCCGAAGCCACTCTCCCTTGGCCCACTCCAGCATAGCCCATGACATCCATGCTGATAATTCAGTGACTTCTTAACAGATATTATTTTTACCCCCAAGGGAAAGATCCATCAAGCTGCAATTCTTTAAAGAGATGCCATTTTGGAGTATCTGACCCAGAAAATGAAGCTAAATTTAACTAAATGTTCTTATTTTACAAAGCAAATTTTGGGTGAGCAGATTAATTCATCTGGATTCTTCCAGGAATGTCTGAGCCAACTAAGGTTGGGGGAGGGGCCCTAGGCCGGGGACACCAATGAGCGGGATCCGGTTTTCACATGGGCAAGGCCACACAGCAATAAATGAATGGCCACAGGGGCCCACACAGGGACACAAAGCCCTGGGTCCTCGGGAAGAACGTGCAGCATCCTTCCCATGCACGGGGATTTTAAGCTGAAAGGATTCCTGTGCTCCGGAGCAAAGGCAGGGCCAGGGGTCAGATGATTTTTAATGTTTTATTCTAACCGTGGTTGACAGACAAGGTTCATGACTCTTCCCATTCCTTCCCCTTTCTATGGGGGGATAGGCTCAGAATCTGGAAGGGTCAAGGAGGGAGGCAGACCCCAGGAGGATGGGAACACTTTGAGCACAAATAAGTACTATCAGGTCCAAAGGGGCAGTCAGGGGTCATTTCATGGTCAGAGTGGAAGCCCTCTCCACCCTGCAGACTGACCCCCGCCTCCTGGTCTCCGGACCATTCCAGCAAAGCAAGGGTTTTGGTGGGGGAAGGGGTCCCTCTCACCTTAGATTCCATAACCTTCCCCTGCCTTCTGTGTTAACAGGGTGGACAGGAAAATCTGTCACCCAATTTCCTTTCTCATGTTCTCACAAATAAAATGCTCCCACAATGGCATTTAATAATGGAAGGAAAATACTACAAATGGTTACTTACACATTTATGGCATTTGCCATAAAAGCAGTATAATCACCGCTCAAAGCATGTATTTATTCATGCATATACAACTGCATCCTGAAATTGCTATAGCGCTCAGAAATGTTAAAAAGAGCCGAAGAGACCCCCACTCTACTCTGGGGCTGCCAGATCTCGGGTCCAGGCCAGCTTCGCTTGTAAGGTCAGGGAGAAGCCATTGGCTTTGGAGCCCTGGACACTGCTCACAGGATCCCCCTGGTGGGGGTGGGGCGGGGAGCAGCAGAGGCACACAGGTGGTCAGTTGCACTGATGCTTGACTCACGGATGGCAGATGAGGCGTGCTGATACCTGGCTGGGGACCTAAGTGACCCAGGGCATGGCTCAGGGCAGCCTGGTGATGGCTTTCAGCTATGGGGTTCACTCTGAGCTGGCCCCACATTTCAGGGGGCTCCTGGAGGCCTGAATTTGGAATGATCCAAACAGTTATGCTTTGCATATTGGTGAGGACAGTCTCTGCCTAAGCTTTGAGTGAACAGTGAGCATAAAGCTGCAGTGCTATCGAAAGCCATTGCCTGCCAGCCCAATTTAAATCAAAGAATGAAATGAGGAGTTAAAAAAAAAAAGTATGGGTTTCAGATGAAGGCATCCAGTATGCAGGGAGAGAGAAAATTCCATTCCCAACAAGCAGGCATATGTTGGATGATCACATTTCACAGCCAAGCAGTCTCTCTATGCTAATCACTATGATACAGAAAAACCTCTGCTGCCGGGGAGCCCTGGGCCCTGTCATTCCCGGGGCCCACCCCAGAAACACATCTGCAGCAGCATGGAGAGGAACTCAAGAGGGGTCGCAAGCAGAAACAAAGGAGGGGCAAGCACAGGGGGCGAAAGAGACGGATTGCATTAAATTACTTACAACAGAGAACACACAGACATCACATCTTCAACCATCCTAAGACCAGAAGACAAAGAAGAGAGAGACAGACAGAGCAACTGACAAAAGGATATATCTGCAGACAACTGTTCCTGGGGGCTAGATGCCACCGTCACCCTCTGCAGACTCTGCCAGCTTTTTGCGAAGGGGCCCCGGGGAACCGCTACCTCCCTAGGTTCGGATCGTGCCCAGGGCCCTGTCCTGAGACCTTTGTCACGCTGGGGTAGGAGCTTCCAAGCCAACACCCCATCCACCAGGGGTGAGACCACAAGATGTGGGCTCAGCTTCCAGGCCTATTAGCTTCAATGCTCAAAGGACAAAGTGGCTGGGGATGGAAGGTAACCAGGCTGTCAGAGAATGTGGCTACAAGTTCACTCCTATTCCAAAGACCATGCTTTGGAGTAAGCACTTCAGATTCCTATTCCAGCATGGATCCTGTGGCTCATCTAGGAAGAGCCTGGTGGAAGAGATGACCTAAGAAAAATCCACAGCTTTGGCCAGAATGACCTCCCAGCCTCCACCAGGCAGTGGGGTGGTACAAGGCCAAAGCCGGCTACGCAGAACCTCTTCTCAGGAAGCCCCAGCGGTCAGATGCTCAATGCATGAGGGAGCCCAGAACGGAGGTAAGTGGGTCACGTTGTCTAGCTCATCCCAAGCAGACCCGGAGGGACTGCTACCTGTTCTTTTGCACTACCCCTGGGAGACTGGTCTCTGTAGTCTCGATAAATTATAGATGATGCCTCCCAGCACAACAGCAGAGGCTCAGCAGCCAACCACACTGCATGTGGCCCCGAGCCCTAGAATGGCCTGTAGCCAGCCAAGCCGAAGCTGGGGCTTGGAATGAACGCTGGAGCGCAGACACACGGGACTCCAGGGCCATGTACTCGGCCACGTTGGACAAGACTCCATTATTAGAGGCTCCCTGGAGGTGGCAGGGTCTCCCTGCCCTTTGCAGGTTTCTCTGATCTCTTTTGGACTTACAGCCTGGCTGGTCAGGTGTAGGGAGCGGCCCAGGGTACACTCCCCCTCCACCTCCTGGAGTCCACCACCGTGCTGGGTTCTGGGCTGGCCTCGTGACAGGAAGAAACAGATACTCTACATCTGAACAGTGTTTTACAGGGCACAGCTCCTGGCTTTCCCTCAGAAGGCAATACACACGCTCAACAGGCAAAAGGGTCCCGGTCACCAACAAGGAGGTGGTCAGGTCTCTTGCGACTGCTCCCCCTTCTGAAGGGCCTCCCACACTCCCCTAGAGTGGAAGGTCAGGTCTTCTGCTAGAGGCCGCTTGAGATCACTGACTTATTCACATGGAAGATCCAGGACTCCTGACCCCACAGGGCTCTGTGGGGGGGAAAATGCCCCACGGTGGCCTCAGAGAGGAACGGGAACACATATCCTGCTGCCTGGGAAAACGGTGGCAATCAGGGCGAGGTCAGGGCAGCTGAGGGTTACCCAGGACTAAGGGTCACGGCACTACCCCTCCCTGCCTCCGATCCTCACCACCTTCACCCCTGAACTTACGTCTTTAGGGGCGTCTTCTTCTTCTTGGCGGGCTTGTTCAGCCCGTCCCCATCCATTCCATTGGCTTCGATGGCACTGGCTGGGATCTCAAAGGAGGCTGGGGATTTAGAAGGTGAGCTGGGGGTCTTAGAGGAGGTCTTAAAGGGATCAATGGACTCGTCACAGGCGTCTGGGTCAAAGTTATATGACTGTTGGGGCAGTTTGGGAGACTCCTGCATTTTTGAGGTGGAAGAAAAGGGGTTAAAATTGGGGTCATCCCACTTGTCAATATCAAAGGTGTAGGTACCTTTAGCCACAGGGATGTCATTGGGCTCAGCGGGGGACCTGGGAGGTGAGGCAGGAGTGTTGTCGAGTTTCTCGGGTGTCTTTTTCATCTTTGGCCTCCTTAGGGGCATTTTGGCAACTGGCTTTTTGCCTATCTTTTTGGTAGGAGGGGGGTTTTCCTGCTGGTTGTCCCAACCACCCTTGTCCTCAGAATAGTCAAACTCCAGCCTCACTGACAGCCCTCTGACCGGGGAGTCCTCTTGCCCCCCACTATCCAACGGGGTCTCCTCCGCGGCCTCGGGGGCCGTGGTAAGAGGCAACGTTTTCCTCCCAACAGGAGGTGAGTTCTGCACCCTGCCACCTCCAGAAGCCAAGGGGCTGGCGCCCTCGGCACACTCTGGGTCCAGAGGACAGGCGGCTTTGGGTGCAGCGGCAGGCTCCGGGGGCGTCTCTTCCGACGAGGGGGACCCTGAGCCCTCTGCCGCGGCCGGCTCCGTCTTGGTCTCCGACGCCAGATACTCCTCGTTGGGGACCGGACTCTCCTCCGCTGGCTCCTGCTGGGTCTCCTTCACTGGGGGGGTTTCTGTGGGCTTCTTGGTGCTTTGCTTCTTTTTTAGGGACGGTGGCCTGGGTTTTTTAGTTCGCTTGAGGGTACTGGAAGCACTGCACGAGCCTGTGCTGCCTGCGTCCGGGGCGAGGGCCGCGGCCTCGGGGCTGCCTGAGCAGGAAGCACCATCAAAGTCACCGGCCTGCAGGCTCAGGGAGCGGGACAGCGTGGACTTGGCGGGGGGCACGGACTCGGTGGACTTCCTCCGCGCGGTGGCCTTGCACTCTTGGCTCTTACAGTCCGAGGGCCGAGGCTCCAAGCTCTGGAGGTTATCCACCAGCTCGATGCTGTCAAAGTCTAAGTTGTAAGTCCCGCTGCTGGCTATCGGCTTGTCTTCATCAAAGACGGCAGAGGAGGAGTGTGGAGGGCGGAAGGGGCTGCCTTCCACGGAGTCGCTGCGTGGGCCATCAGGGACGGTGACCGTCTCAGAGCCACATCCTGGGGAAATGGAGACAGAGCTGTCACTTGAGAACATGCCTCACCTTGTGCCAGATGGCTGCCCTCCAGACAGAGAGTGACAGACCCCATCCATGGGTGACTAACGCCAGACCCTGGGCAGGTTAACCTCAGTTCCCTCAAATGCATTTACCAAGTGCCTGATTAGGATGGGACCAGGCACGGTGCTGAGGACTCAAAAAGGAAATGGACAAAGTAGATGTGATCCTTGCCTTCTTGGAAGTTGCAGCCTTCGAGAGGATGATGGTGAGGAAACAACTGAATAATAGCCCAGACTGTGAGATGGTGATGTGTGCTGGGAGAAAAGCAGGGCAGGGAAAGGGATCACCATTTTAGGTAAGATCCTTAGGCAAAGTCCCTTTGATCAAAGACCAGACCCGAGGTCCTTCACAACCAGGAGGATGTCCGAGGAAGAAGCATCCCTGGCGGCAGGGGCCTGGGGGCGGGAGCACCCTTGGTCTGTTGGAGGAACGGGACAAGAGGCCAGTGTGGTTGGACAACGGGAGAGGAGCATGACAGGAGAACAGGCAGCACAGCGTAGTCAGCCTTCCACGTTAGCTAGCTCATGGGCATCCTGCTCCTGACAATTCAGAACCATGTGAGGAAGAGCCACAGCTTTTACGTGGAGGACCCCAGGGGATGCAAGCAGGACTGAGCTTGCCCTTTGCCACCTGCCCCTCCAGATGTCGCCTGGAACCTCTCTGAGCAATCCCTCCCGCCTGTCCTTGGCCTTGCCAACTAACTGTTCATTCTCTTCTCTTCATGGTTTCCCTCTCTCCTCGTCGACTGCTGGCCAAGGAGGCTCCTGACTTCCTAACATGCTGTAGATATACCAAATGTTGGCCACATGGCGCTCCGTGACCTCTCCGCCCTGCTGCTCCTGGGGATCCGGCCAGCCCTGGCCTCAGCTTGGCTACTCTGGGCTCTGCTTGCACCAGGGACATTCTCATGCATTTCGGGGCTCCCAGCTGTCTGAGCATCAAAGGATGCTAGGAAATGTTCTTTCAGAAAACTAAAAACATGTCACCGGACGAGAGGGCTCATGTTGTAAAGTCCTCAGTACAGGGAGCATGCAGGACAAGGGACAGGAAAAGTTGGTACAAGTGTGACGTGCGGTGTTGCCCAAGTGTGCTTCCCTTACAGTACCGTGTCCCTCTGAGTCCAGAGGACAGGTGGCTTTGGGCATAGCAGCAGGCTCCAGGGGCGTCTCTTCTGACGAGGCAGACCCTGAGCAGTCTGTCGTGGCCGGTCCCTATCCCCGTGAGAAAACTGCCCCTAAAGTCAGGATGTCTGGCTAAATTTGACTTCAGATGAATGAATACAGGTTTAGTAAGAGGATATCTACATCATAATCATTTATTACCTGAGATTCAAGTTTAACTGGGTACCTTGCACTTTTGTTTGCCATCTGGCAGCCCTACCCGTCGCCCCAATAAACAGGTCTGGGAAATGCCTGCACAGGTGTCTTCCACCGGTGGCTTAGCTGTCCGGGCTCACTCCTGCAGTCCCTGGTGGGGATCACACCTTGCTCACAAGCAGGGCTTGCTCCTGGAGCTGCACCGAGCCCCATCAGGCAGGGGAGACTAGCACACAGGCCTCCCCAACAGGAGCTCGTCTCCTCTACCCGACTCGTCCACTGTCACACTCTGTCTTGCACTCAACAAATGCCTCCTGGATTGAGAGCACCTTCTGGATCCATGATGAGCCAGTCGGGGCCTCAGGCCTTCTCTTCTCTCCTCACCCAGCCCAGCTAGGAGTGCACACCCTGAATACGGAGCACCTGACCGGAGCCTTGGCTCAGCTCTTTCCACCAAATGATTTCTCCACCATCACCTGACCCCACTGCTTCCTGCTCATCTCAAAAGAACAGGTGCCACTCTCCTTTCTGAGATGAACTCCCCTCCTTGTTCCTGGGGGACTTTGTGTCCTTGAGCACCCCGTCTTCCCATCAGCAGTGACCGTGTCGTCCTGCCCTGTGGAGGACCCTGGACACTGGGTACAGAGGGCAGAGGCCCAGAGAGGATGAGGAGGAGCAGGGGAGCCACATGGGCCCCAACAGAGAGAGAGAAGGGGCCTGTCATCTCCAAGCAAGGCCACGTGCCAACCTTCCTTTGCTAAACTGCTGCACGGTCTCCGCAGCCTTCTGAAGTCAGGAGTTCTCCCTGAATCGTGCTGCAATCAGCAGATATGCCGCTTAACCATCTGCTCATTTGCTTTCCCCAGAAGAAAGAGCTCCTCCTGCTTAACACAGCTTCCCGCGTGGAAGTGACACCCCATAATCCAATCACCATGGGCCCCGAGACCTGAGCCTGCTTAGCATTGCTTTCCCTGGGCATGATGGGTATTTGGGGCTGGTCAGATCTCTGTCCTGGGGGCCGGGTGTCCACTGGGCACACTGTACAGCACCCCTTGCCTCGACCCAGTAGATATCGGCAGCATGTCCCACTCCAGCGGAGACCATCAGCAACGTGTTCAGACATTGCCACACGTCCCCTGGGGGGCAAAGCTGTCCCTGGTTGAGAGCTGCTCTGTTGGTGTGTGGTCCCCAAGCAAGCTGCTCCATGGCATTCGTCACAGGGCTGGGAAGCCCTGCAATGTGAGAGGCCACTGCCACGTGCAGGCCTTGATCTTTCCAAAGCAAGTGTGTGTCCACTGGGTTCCCACTGGACTTTTCGATGTCCATGCACATCTGCATGAAGACCACTCATTTCACACTCCGAGGTGCCTCCTACCTGCCAGTCACTAAGAGGTAGGCAAAGCAGGTAAAGGTGAGGAAGGACTAGGCCCCAGGCCAGCCCATCCATCCACACCAACATGCCCTCTGTCCTGTAGCCAGTGCACACCTGGGCACAGCCTGCCCTGGAAACCTATGCCCGGCAACTCCACATTTCTGACTCAGTATGAGGACAGAGTTAGTATCCAGGCTCATCACGTGAAAAAGCTCACTTGGGGTTTCTCAGCTCTGTCACTCAGCTCACGTTGCCATAGCAACTATCACAGACTCGAGGCTTAAACAACAGAAACTCGTTCCTCACGGTTCTGAAGGCTGGAGATCCAAGATCAAGGTGTCAGTGAATTTGGCCTCTCCAGAGGCCCCTCTCCTTAGCTTGAAGAAGGCGCTTCTCACTGTCCTCACACGGCCCTTCCTCTCTTCTCACAGGGCCACCAGTGCTATAGGATCCAGGCCCATCCTCTGACCCACTTAACCTCAGTGCCTCCTAAAAGGCCCATCTCCAAATACAGTCACGTTGAGGGTTGGGGCTCCAATATGACTCCGGGCCGGGCCACGTAACCCACAAGGTAAGGGAAAAGTGGGTGTACTTGGAAACGAGAGGGAATTCCCAGGAAGGGGAGAGGGGGCAGTAAGTGGCCCAGGCACTAGTGCTCTGCCTGGCCAACACCCGCCACCCGCAGCTGACACAACCACACCCACCTAACATGGGGGTCCTCAGGATGGGCTGTGCTTCAGGGCCCCAGCAGCCTCCCTGTTCCAGCCAAGAGGAGAGGAGCCAGCCAAGGGGGGCCTGAGTGCTTGAGGAGCCCCTGGTCTCAAAAGCCCTGCTCCCCCTTGCTGCACCCTACGGCCTGACATCTGCGTCCTCCAGAAATCCCCATACCAATTCTCACTCCCAAGGTGACCGTATCAGGAGGTGAGGTCCTTGGGAGGCGATTACAACTGCCAGAACAGACCAAGGCAAGGCCAACCTGGGGCATGCTGCTGTCCCCTCCAAGCCTCAGCTGTAAACCAGACATTCTTATGGGGACGATGTGGGGGAGCCACCTAAGTACTCATTTCAGGGCACAGCAAGTGCCAGGAAATGACAAGCACAGCCCCCCAAATCCTGCACATGCCTCAGTGACGCTGCTCCCTGTACCCTGCCAAGGCTGGGACGGGCTCTCCCCTCTCTGGTTTCTGGGATGCCCGGCCCAGGAGGCCACCTGTCTCCGGGGTGAGTACCCACATGGATTGCTCCAGTGACAACACACAGGGAACAGGGTCCTCTGTGGAGGGCACAGTGGAAACACAAGCCACTGGGAACTCTGCCGCCAGGCCTGGCATTGGGAACCTTCCTGAGCCAAGATGACAGCAGCAGTCCACAGCTGGAGCCCCGTGGGCCACCACTTTTTGGGGAGAGAGGAAAGCTGAAGGCACTCAGGGTGCAGAGTGGCTCCAGTCACCTCTGAGACCCCAACAGGGCCCTCCCCAGGCTGGGCAATCTCCCAGCAAGAATGAATATACAAGCTTTGTCCCCGGTGGAGGACAATGCTCAACGGAACCCTCCTCGCTGCCCCCACCCCCTGCTACGCGCCCTGCTGTCTGTCTACTTGCTGTCCCCTGACAGTCCTGGGCCCTGCCCTCTGCCTTGGCGCGGCCCAGGCTGCAGCTTGCAGCACGGACTGTCTCACAGTCCTGCACCTGCAGCCGTCTGGGCATCAGCGACCACAGTGACCATGCTCCCAGCACCTCCGCAGAGCCAGCAGCAGGTCAGGGGCTGAGCGCAGCTGCTCACAGCGCCACGTGGACAGCAGCCTGCTTTCCAGCGCAAGGAGCCATCCTGGGAAAGGGGTGTCACGTGCGTGAGGGAGAATTCTCTCACCCGAATGGGAGATGACACACTCAAAAGTCCAAACCCAGGCCCAACACAGGCAGAGGCTTAAGTGGGAAATGTTATGCATCGTGTGATATTTCACTGTGTCCCCAGTGGCCAGATCTGAGTTCTGATAACACAGCCACTGTACCATAGCCAAGCATTCCATTCACAGGGCCCCCAGGTCAGAGGGAAGGGATCTCAGAGGCCCTGCAGGTGGCCCTCCTCATTTACAGGTAAGGAAGCTGGGCTCCAAGGAGTCCTGCCCCACGCCAGACAGGGGCAAAGGCAAGGGCAAACCACGCTGTGTCCACAGCCAAAGATCTGGTCTGTTATTTCATGAGGTTCCTCGGGCAACTTTGGTAACATTCCAGGCGCTGAAGAGGAAAGCCAAACAATAGCTCTTCCTCTCCTGCCCATTCTTTCCCATGGTTCCCAGGACAAGCCTTTCTTCCCTTAGGGCCCCCCACAGCCCCCACAGCCCCCCACGGCACTTCTCAGGCACTTCTCACGCCTCTGCAATGCCCCATGCAGGTCTGCAGAATGGATGAGGGGATGCCACTTCTGGGGGGCGGTCCTCACAAGGGCGGCAAATCAAATGGGCCTTTGTGCAGCCCAAGCAGGGGGGATGTGGGGCAGTGGTGAGTCTAACCTTCCGCTCCTCGCAGGATCCTCCCCTCAGCCTCCCTGCAGTTCTCAGGACGGGTGGAAAGTCTCCATTCTCCCTGCTCCGACTCCAGGGGTATAATCAAAGGCTCTGAGGACTGTGACTCAGTGGCAATCCACATCCCCAGCCCCTTCCCCCGGGGGCCCTCCCATAAGCCTCATCATGTTCACTCTTATAACCGCCACCTAAGGAAGAGGTGGGTGTGGCGTGTGTGTGTGTTTTTAAGAATGGAAATTGTTCTCGGCTTTGGCACAAGGAAGAACAGCAACAAAAAGAAGTGGAAAACTGTTCCTGAGAGCAAGCAGGGAATCGGACAACAGAAGACGAGCCCATGGTCATGAATGACCTTGCCCTGCACGGGCCTTAATCATGTGCCTGACCCAGGGTTCACAAGGTGTTGGTCATTCAGTCACTTATCATCAAAAACTGGGCAATTTGTAAAAACCGTACGGGAAATACATTTTTACATGATTACATAAAATAAAGAAAGGGAAGCAAATGACTCTCTGGGAACTGCAAGCAGCCCTCTGGGTCTTCCCCACCTCAGTCAGATAAATACCATCCTCCGGCTCTCGGAGCCCAGCCTCCGTCCTGACTCAGCAGAGCCCTGACTCTGCTGCTGGCCGAGGAGATGCTGAAGACGGGGGACGTGAAAACACCGGGTCCCACCCCAGCCAAGGCGTCTGCTCTCGTGGAAACGGCCTCTCCCATCTTCCTCTGCCCCGGGCAGCCCACCTGTCAGGGCCAAAGCCCTGGCATTATCCTTTTTCAATCACTGGCCTACTTATAGGGCAGATAAAATCAATTCCACCTTTTACTTTCTAAAATCAACATCAAGGTCAAAATATTATTCTATTGTACAGCCCGGCTGACTCCTGACCCAGGCAGGAGCACAAACGGAGGCCCAGCCTCACCCTGACCCTCTGCCCACTGCCAGCTCCCTCCCTCTTGGCTGCCTTGAGCCAGGCTGTGCACACCAGCCTGCAGGTCCCAGCCTCAGCCCAGTTCCTCCGCAGGCTGGAGGGGAAGATGGCTAGGACTGGGGCTGGGGTGGACCTCCGGTGGCTGCGGGAGGCTTATGAGGTCTGGAGGGAGTCAGCTCCCCATGCTTGTTAGGCGGGGAGGGCGGGGACCCGGGGAGGGTCAGAGTGGGTCCTACAGTGTGGGACCCTGAGCCATCCAGGACCTAGCACAGCACCACCTGGCCTTGACCTGCCCGTGGGGCCACTTCAGGCAGGCTGCGTCTCCTTCCAGGACTCTCTTAAGCTTTCTAAGAAGGGTGTCTCTTTATCCCCACTGGAGAAACCGGGAAAAGCACACAGCACCAGCCACAGGAGCAGTGGGATCACCACATCTAAACAGAATCCAAAGGTGTTGCCACTCACACCAGGGGAGGGAGAGTGTGGAGAAGCAAGAAAAATCAGGTAGCCCCAGGGTGGTGAGGCTGCGGCCAGCATGGGCGGACTCTCTCTCGTCTTACTCCCCAGCCCACGGGGGCTCTGTGCTTGGAACACAAGTGCAAAGTCACATCAGCTGGACAAAGCCTGACACTCTCCCAGGAGCACAGGGTCAAAAAGCAGAATCCAACATTCTGCTGGGAAGTTCCAGGACCCAGCTGCTCCAGCTGCACACCATCTGAGGCTCTGGGTAACAAGCTCCCAGTGCAAAGCACACCCAGCCCAATCCAGCCCAATCCACTGTAGGCGCTCACCCCAGCCCTGACGACAACCTGCAAAACACAGGACACAGCCCAGAGTCAAGGCCTAGTGCTGCGGGCTGTGACGAGTCTGAGGGTCTTGCTCCCTCTGTGCTGGGGTGGGCATCCGCCTCCAGTGTGCACTGCCAGGAGTCACCGCCCATCTCCCAGGGGCCCGGGCCCTGGCCCTGGCCCTGCGTTACCTGGTTCTTCCGGGGCTGGTGGTGCGCTGACCTCAGGCTCTGGGATGACTTCAGGGGGTGGCGGAGGTGGGGCTGGTGGAGCTTTGACAGGGGTCGTTGACTCCGGGGTCTCAAATGCTTCTTCAGAGTCAGAACTCCTGAAGGAGAGAGGAGAGAGACAGGTCAGACGGGGCCAACAGCAATTCTGCACGATGCGCTCCAACACAGCACCAGCCACAGGGGCAGCTAGAGGTGGGCCCTCAATTCAACCACCTGGGGACAGAGGTGAGAAAGTGATGACGTTGATTATGACCAAACCCCTTATTCTTTGAACTCAGCTCTACTCAGATCACATACTTGTCACCTCAGGGGAACTTCGCCCACAGCAGACTCTCCAGAGGAACTCTGGTACCCACTCCTTGGCGTCCATTCAGACCCAGGGCAGTATGCGTGTTGGACCAGGGTGGTTCCTGTCACCTAAATTCCCACCCCATGGAGTTAGGCGTCCGTGCCCCTCTTCCTCCTTCCCAGCGCCCCTCATAAACTGTCAGCAGAGATTTATTCACTTGCTAATAATCATGCCCTCGTTTTCCTCCACGGGGCTGTACATGCCATGCTTGTTCACAGAACCCAGAGCCCCACACCCAGGACAGTGAATGGGCCTCTATGAGTGAGTGAAAGCCAGCGAGCCAGCGAGGACGGGCACCAGGCCAAGCCACAAAGCACTGCCTGACAGCCCGAGGGTGTGGACACGGTTCTTGTGGGCCCTGCAGGACAAGAAAGGTTCTCCACCTGGAGATGTGGACCAAAAGTCCGCCCCGAGAAGCTACTGTCTGTCACATGGGCAGCCAATGGCCAAAGCCTTGCCCTGGGCTAAGACAGCCCAGCAGACAGCCCTGCTCCCTCACCTGCTTCCACATGTGCTCCATCTTAAGCCAGAAGATGACGCTCCCCAGGTCACTGGCCCACATGCTGCCTGGGCCAGAGGGCAGCAGTACACTGGCTCCAGCTGCCCGTGGACAGGCGCCCAACCACAGCTACGTGGACGGTCAGCGTGGAAGCATCAGCAGCGGGCCAGTTCCCATCTCAGAATATGATAAATAAACCTGAACACCAATGGGTTCATTTGCAACAAGGCGGTTAACTACCAAGAGGGTGGGCTCTGAGGACTGCACATTGGCATGAATGACCTTGGCAGGCAGTAATGGGGCAGGTGACGGGGAACACGCTGTGACAGACACACTGGGCTGCACCCGTGCCGCTGAGCCAGGTAGGCCAACACTGTGGGGCAGGCACACTGCTGGCCTCTCCCAGGTCAGAGGACCAGTGACCTAGGTACAGGCCACCATCTTCTAAAGACCAACAGCCAGAGAGCACCAGGAACCAAACCAATCCCTCCACTATCTGCCAGGAGGACAGAAAGGGGCCATTTGGTGAGTTCCCTTGTGAGAGACTCATAGTGCCAGAGGTCACCCCCATCCACCCCCCATAAGGACCTTGACTCCTCTAACCAGCCATGAAGTCCTCCAGGGACCCAAAGAGATGAACAAACCCCAGAGCTGCTTTTGATGGGCTCCACTGGGCCGAAGCCAGCACAGTATTGAATTTCATGAGTAAATACTTATAATTCATGCAAACACAAGAGGGAAACTGACTTTTTAACACACACACATTAATATTAAAGGACTAAGCTTTTGTCCAAGAGGAGAATTTAAGACACATCCCCGCAGGGACGGTGACAGATCTAGGCGCGTGCGATTCTGCAGAGTCTGTTTACAAGTATGAGAACACAGGAGGTCATACCACGCAGCAGCAAAGAGGAAGGAGAGCCTGGATCACCTTGGTGGCCGGGTGGACTCTAGGAACTGGCTTCCCCACCCTGCCCCCAGCATCGGGGCAACACTGACAAGACGCACGAAGCCAACTTGCCTCTCTCCAGAGCCTCCTCGAAGGGCCGGTGGCCCGGGAGCCCGACTGCTGCTCACCACCGACCACATCCACCGGGCCCATTCCACCGGAGACCACATCCGCCAGGAACCAAAAGCCATCTCCACGGAAGAACAGCCTCTGTCCCCCGAATTCCCAGCCCTAATGTCCTCGCTGGTATCTTTGAGATCTAAATCTCTTTCATTATCACCAAAACAGTTAGCCACACCACCAGACACAGATGCCATGAGCTTCTCCGGCATCCGGAGGCCCCAGTGCTGCTCCACCCAAGCTGAGACGAGAAGAGAGGGACTGAGTGTCCGTCCCCCTAGCTTCTGCATCCCTGGGCACTGGTGACATGTGACTCTGGAGCACAAAGAGCCCTGGTCTTTCTCAACAGCACAGCAACAGGGAGGGCCGGATGCTCTTGGGGTCTAGCTGCAGCTGCCCGATGGCACACCTGCTTGGAGGGACCGCCATTCACAGGGCCTATGTGGGAGGCAGCGCCGGGGGTGGGCAGGGCAGGGGCACACCAGGCCCTTTGTGCCCCCTATCCTGTTTATTATTAACTATTTCTGCATCAAAACACTGAGGACCACCGTGGGCCACAGGAATGGCACTCACTTCCGGAGCCATCTGCCTTGTTTTCATATTTCCGCGCCCTCTCCTGGGAGGGGAGAGCAAGTTAATTAGAGGAGGCGGATGGCAGCTTTTTTAATTAGCTCTTTTTTCCCTATTCAGTTTCCCAGGAGCTCGAAACATTTCCAAGAGCAAAAGTTTCTACAGTCCACCCACAAAGAGTCTGTACATAAAAATAAAGCAGCGTTTTGGAGCCCCAAGGCACAAAGGCAATTCCCATAGGCTGTTTTCTTTTTATTTTTCCCCAACCAGAAAAAACTAAAATGTAAGAAATTATTCTGTGATGGCTCCACGCACTTTAAAATTGGGGTGGGGTTGGGGGAGGAAATTAATATGCCACAAGTATGCATCACAGAGAAATGTTGTCATTACAATCTGTTAAAACATCTCTAAATTATAAGTAAATATATTTCCCTAGATGGGCATATGTTATGTTCACCATATAAGTAAGTATGCAAATACGATATGTGTATTTCTATGGTCTGAACAGTTCTTAATAGCCAAACATAAATACAGTGGCTCTGATTCTCAGCATGAGAAGCATAATTACTATAATTTGTTGAACATTTTGTTATGCATCAGGCACTGGACTGAACCCATTTGTGCACTTACTTATAATCTTCAAACAGACCATTTTACAGATGAAACAATCATGGCTTAGAGAGGCAAATTACTCTGCCTTCGGCCATGTAGTTAGTTAGCAAATGATGGAAGCCAGGGTTCAAATCCAAAACTGTCTTTAAAATCCATGCCCTTTTCACGATTTCTGTGGCTTCCAAATGTTTTTCGCAAGCTCAATTTATAGTATGTTCTTATCCTAAAGTCTCTCGTGGATGAACCGAGAGCTGACACCGGGGCTGGGGGTGCCCACTGCAGCATTATCTCTGCTGATTTCCCTCCTGCTCACGCGGTGCTAGGAGAGGTCCTGATCACCAACGAGCTCATCACAAACAGCCCCTGTGTTTGCAGAGCTTGTCCTCTAACCAGGGGACAGTCTTCAACAAGTCAGGCAGGGCCAGAGAGCCACCCACCTGCACAAAACCATCTACCAGCACACGGTGGTACGCTACTGTGTGAGGTGGTGCACAGGGAAGAGGGAAACCTGTTAGGCTTTTTTATCCAGCTATTTTCTCAGATTTCAGAGACGTCCACAGAGCTCTCAAGACTAAATCTCAAAGCCACAGCTGGAGGCTGTCCAACACAATTCTGAGTTCAGCCCTCCTCGGTGATGCGCTGTGTCAAAACAGGTTATGAAACTGTCCCCGAAGCCCGAGTGTGGACTCTCTTTTCCCTTTATTTGTGATTTGGTTTAAATATTTTCATGTTTTTACTTATATATGAACTATGATAGTATCAAATAGTATAAGACCAGCCCACATACACGATATAATAATATACATCCACTTGTACATATAGAAATACAGATCTACCTGTGAATGTCAGTGTGTGCGTTCATAATGAAAACATGGGCGTCTATTAATAAAAAGGTACTATAAATATGGTTTCCCAACACATCACTAAGTGGTTCCATTTTGCTCAATTTTTACTGGAGAAAATTCAAGGTTTGGGGATAATAAGTAGCAGAGACCATACAAGTTTCCAAAAGAAAAGTTAAGGGATCTTTTTATCCCACTTGTGTGGTTTAGATATGAGGTGTCTTCCAAAAGCTCAGGCGGAAGACGATGCAAAGTGTTCAGAGGTGAAATGGTTAGGTCATGCGAGCTGTGGCCTAAGTAGTGCTGGTCTGGGTTAACTGGGCAGGCAGGTGGTCGCTGGAGGAAGCAAGTCACCGGGCTGTGCCTTTGGGGTGTACACTTTGTCCTTGGTGAGAAGAGCTCTGCTTCCTGGTGGCCAGGTTCTACGCTGCTTTCCTAGATACATCCCTCCACCTGGATGCTCTGCCTCACCTCGGGCCCAGAGCTAGAGCTGGCTATGGACTGAGCCCCTGAGACCATGAGTCAAAATAAACTTTTTTCCCTCTGAATTGTTCTTTTCGAGTATTTTGGTCACAATGACAAAAAGCTGATTAAAACACCATCGTCTTTTTTAAACAGGTGAGGAAACTGAGGCCCAGAGACCTGGAGCGACTTGCCCAAGTCTCTGGCCGGTTTGTGGCAGCCTTAGCTGGAAATTCCACAGAACCAGGCCTGACTCCATCAGGGGCTGCCTCCAAATAGGAATCTGTGTTCTGTACCACAACGCCCACCCTGGAAACCCAAAGTCACCCAGTGCTACCTGATGATCAAGATTGGCTGGTAAGGAGTGCTCATGTTCATCTATTTCTAGATCAAGTCCCAACATGAACGTGATCTGGGACGCGATGGAAGTTTTCGGACCACCCACCCAGGGTGAAAGAACATGCTAGACACAGGGCCTTCCCATGACGTAAGCCACACCCTCTGAGCTCCATGCAGAGGTCAGTGCTGCCTGAGGTCAGGCTGCCCCTTTCTTCACCCCGCCCCCCACCTTGCTCTTGAAGATGAAGCCCAGGCAACGGCCACCGATCTGGCCAAAAGCTCTACTTTGGGGAAGATCAGCCAACATCTCTAGGCCAAAAGACCATCTGCTGTCCCTGAAGAGAGGGGCAGCTTCC